ATTGCCCAACCTTCCTTCTGAGGAGTGGCTGGTGGATTTGAACCGCCAGCCTTCTGGTTAGTAGTCAAGTGCCTTAGGCACTATGCTACCAGAGCTCCCTCCGTAGTGATACTGCCTCGGAAACCCAAGGAGGGGTCGCTATGAGTCGGGTTTGACTCGATGGCACATAACAACAACAACAAAAATGACTGGCAGTTGGAATTTAGACCTTGGCAGTTATAACTGATAGACTGGGCTGGAGCACTGCTGGTGGAAGTCAAGTTCCTGAGGGACCCTATAATGATTGGCAGTTGGAATTCAGACCTTGGCAGTTATAACTGATAGATTGGGCTGGAGCATTGCTGGTGGATCTCCTGGGAAGATTCGCTCCTCCTCTTGCTCCGGTCTTGTTTCTTGAATCATCCTCATCTCACCCCTGGATTTGGGACAATAGCTGCCATCTGATCTACTGATCGAGGTTCATCAAACCCCGAGAGTTGGGAGGATCCGCCAAACCTACTCACGGACCCGGGACTTGCCAGCCTGCCAGCCTCCACTCCTACTCACGGACCCGGGATTCGCCAGCCTGCCAGCCTCCACCACTACTACGTGAAACAAACCCTTGGGTGTTTGTGAGTCCTGTGAGGCGTTACAGCGAAATTCAGAACCCTAAGATTGGGGTAATTATTGGGAGGAGGAAGAGGGATTAATGTCTGAAATGATGGAGTGGTATGGTAGTTTGGACATTTGGGACATTCTTGACCTCAGCCTCATGGGGACTAGCCTCATGCTAATCTTTCTAAGAGAAATTGTTCAAGCACTGACCTTTTTTATTTAATGCATTTTATTGAAATATAATTTATGTACGGTGAAATACACAAAACTAAAGTGGCATGGGCCAATGCAGTTTTTTTTTTTTTTTTTGCAGTGTTCTCTCCCCTCCCCTTCCATCCTTAGCAACCAACAAAGTAAGTTTCCCTCCATATATAAACCATTCCTTGACCCTCCATAACAACGAACTAATACTATATTTGTCCTTCTGTGATTGACTTACTTCACTCAGCATAACGTCCTCCAAGTTCATCCATATTATGCAGTATTTTGCAGACTCTACATTACTCTTTAGTGTTGCATAGCATTCCAGTATGTGTATGTACCATAGTTTGGTCATCCACTCTTCAGCTGATGGGCACATAGGTTGTTTCCATCTTTTTGCTATTGTAAATAGTGCTGTGATGAACATGAGCATGCATGTATCTGTTTCCATCCTGGCTCTCACCTCTGTAGCCACTGACCTCTCTTCACAAAAGGACTCATTGACCAGCTTTGAGGGGTGTAATGGGCTGACAGCTTCTAAGTGTTAGCTCCTCCAAGGTCCATTTCAGCTGTCAAGCTGAGTTCACTCTCTTTACCAGGTACAGAACAAAGTCTGTCAGTACAAGTATCTAGCCATTTCTCCCCAATTCGGACTCTTCTAATGACTAACCTTAGGTCTAGATCTCCTCCTGGAGCTGACAGAGATCTGATTAGATCTGTATCAGGGTTTGATGACGCCTCCTGTTCAATGCTGCTACTTTTACATTTTCTTTCACTGGTGTTAGTCCCTAACAAATAATTTACACTCCTAACTCCCATCTCACTGATAGTTTCCTGGGAAACCCAACCTACAATTTCATTTAACAGATGAAGAAAACTGTAATTCAGAAGACTTGAGTACTGTTCCAAATCATAGCTGAAAAAGTGATGAAGCTACAAGGATTTGAATTTAAGCAATTAAACTTCAAGAGCCTAAGCTAATTAGTTCCATGTTATATACATCAATGTTGTCTTAACACATACAAGATTTTTCCTATTCCCTGACTGCATTTTCCTATTTTTCAGCTTAATTATTTCCAAGAAAATCATCCTTAAGAAAGCATTTCTTTTATCCCGTATGTGCCAACACACATAAGCCAACCTTTTGTTGAGATTGTAGGCAAGTTACTTACCAGTTGGGAGCTCTGGTGGCATAGTGCCTAAGGCATTTGACTGCTAACAAGAAGGCTGGCAGTTCAAACTCACTAGCCAATCCTTGGAAGGAAGGCTGGGCAATCTCCTCGACACCTGGGAGTTTTTGGTTTTTTAATTACTAGTTGTGTATTTTGATGACTGTAACATAAAAATATTAGGGACCAGTATTCTTTTTTCTATTTCTCACTAACAAGGAGCCCTGGTGGCAAAATGGTTAAAATGCTCAGCTGCTGAGAGGTTGATGGTTCAAACCCACCAGTCATTCTGTGGGAGAGATTGGCAATCTGCTCCCCTGAAATTCTACAGCCTTGGAAACCCTGTGGACACAGTTCTACCTATCTATCTATAGAGTTAATATGAGTTGGAATTGACTTGATAGAAACACTTATTTATTTTAAATATCAACAGCAGATATTATTAATTTGCTATTAATGAATGTGACTATTGCTGTAATCAGTTTCAAAATAAAGTAATTCACTGGGAGATAATAAATATGGTGAATAACAGCACTGCCTATGAAGTTGACCTGAGAAAAAATGTCCTATCTGCCACTTCTTTGCTGTATGACTTTGGGCAAGTGACTTAAATCATAGGGTTGTAAAGATGATTAAATATAAGTAAAGCACTATATAGTGACTCAAATCGTAAATATTCAATAAATGGCAAGCACTATTAAAAACAAACCTCTTCTGAAAAAAGGGGAAAAAAAAACCTCTTCTGATTAACTACTAAATGCCAGGCATTAGACAAAATTCTGGATATTCAGAGACAGATCAAAGAGACCATTTAATCTTTGAGGAAGGGATCATTGTGTAATTATTAGGAAAATGAAAACTAAAAACTATGTTTTTTTAAAAAATTCAAATAGATATCAAATAGGTGGTAAACAGGCTCATCGTTAATAAAAAACTTTAAATACTAAACTAAATGATAGCTTATTTTGCATACTTCTGATTAAGAAATAACAGAGACATTAATATTAGCAACCTTTATATTCTTCACCTTCAATGTCTGCCAGATAAATTCAACACCAAGTTTTAAGTTTTAAAATAATTTTTTATTGAACTAATTTTAACATTGCTTTAGCTAGTGGCAGCTGCACCAAACCAAAACAAAGTCATCATGAATGCTATTTAATACCCCCAAAGTAATTTTCAGTGTGTTTTGTACTTGGAATAATCATTAAACTTTTGACATCACATAATCAAGCCAAGTAGCAGTGCATATTATATTATTCAAAAAGATTTTGTGCATGTCATTAAAAAATCATTTTGCAAGTGGTTTCAGCTTTATCAACAATCTCAATGACACATTACACACTTCATGCTCTCAAAATAAAAAAATGCCCTAAACTAACTCTTAAGTTTTTTAGTTATTGACATAATGAATATTCAGGGTTATAGGAATTGAAGTTTAACATTTTACAGTATTAAGAGGCAATAAGTTACTAGTATCTGCACACACAAGTTCCATCCAAACTAAATATATCCTTGATACATTTCAAAGGACATGTTGTAAATCTTAATATGCTAGTTTATACACTACAGTGCAAAAGAAGTAACAAGCTAAAGTTTCCTGAGCTTTAGGAAATTAACAATTTTTTGACCACTACTCTCAATTTAAAATAGGCTCTTTATTATATGAAGCCTTTTCAAAACTATAGAATTATATTAGGTTTTTGGAGAACTAAAAAGATTGGTCAGAATTATGGTTTAGGGTAAGGAAAAATTTTAAAAGCAAAAGTATTTACAACACTACAGAGTATACTATGGATGTGCATGTAGTACAAAGATCAAAGATAACCGACTGATTACCAATTGATCACAACTGTCCCTTCTCTTTCAAAAATATTACACTGAGACACTTTAAGTTATTTAGCATTAAATATACCAGCCTGTAGCATATTACACATTTAACACATTCTTCTATAATGCCCAGTAAGAAGGAATCAAAAGGAAAAAAAGATTTTTAGAAAAAAAATCAAGAAAAAAACATGCTTTTAGGAATGTTTTTGCATATGTATATGGTAGGGGGAGTGAAAATGACTTCTGATTGAACTCTGTATCTTCAAAATTACAAAGACCGAGTTTCTACTTCAATTTTTTCTTCTGCTTGTAGTACATCAGGGTCGACATGAATAACTGGAGGTCGTAGAATAACTTCAGGCCCTCCACCATATATGGACTGTAAAAAATTCCATGTTTCTTCAGAAATCTGACCAGAATCTGCTCCTAAAATTATGTATATATAGAAAGAATAATGTTTACAAACCTACTGATTCATATTGCTTAAGACTGGTACTAAGAATGACAAAAGCTTTCACAATCTACCCCAGCATGAATCTTCTAGGGATAATCAAGAATTTTTGAAACACACATCTTCAGGCTACCAGGCCATCTTACTATAACCTGCAAGTTTACAGTTTGTCAAGGTACAGATCCTTTTTCCTAGCTCCTATCAACAGCCTTAAAATCTTTTCTGAGATAAAGATTAAACACTGGCTATTTTCCACTATTTGTCCTACTTCATGTATCAATTATATTTTTGAGCTGTGTGAAAAAAGTGCCAGAGATGGCTACTGATGATATGTTAATAGTGAAAAGTCACTATAAAGTAAAGGCTTCAACTGTTGGTCAAACTCACCTTGCCTGAGCATCATATTACCGCATTTAGTGACTGCAATTTTAGTGTTATCAATAGGTCCTGGAGGATCTACGGCAAGAGGAAAAATAAATGATCAAAAAGCATATTTTCCAAAGAAATGTACAAAAGAATTATGTAATTCTGTGCCTGGGATAATTTAGGGCAATAACTAATCAGATTGATTATTCTTTAGCCAGATTTTTATAGTCAACTCTTCACTGTCTTCTGCCAAGCTGCTTCTTCCTTTTTGGATCTTAAAAAGCCCAACTTGTTGCCATCGAGTTGATGATTCAGACTCACAGAAAATGCTATAGGACAGAGTCTTAAGACAAAGAAGAACTGCCTCATAGGCTGTTATCCTTACAGAAGCAGAATGCCACATCTTTCTCCTGTGAGTGGCTGGTGGGTTGAAAACAATGCCCTTTCAGTTAGCAGCTGAGAACTTTAACCACTGTGCCACCAGGGTAAGGAAAGGTAGGGAAGAGTCTAACAGAAATATCCAGAGTCTAACAAATTATCCCTTAACTACCCATGTGGGAGTTACAGTTAAAATGTACTTTTAATGCTATAAAAGAACAATTCATCTGTTATTTTAAGAGAAATTAGAAAATTCTAAATTTGTTTCAGATTGTTGTTACTTAAACGAAAAACACTGCAAAATGAAATATTAAATAAAATACATTCTTTTCTAATTCACGGGGGGGGAATGTTATTTGATTTTCCTTCAGATCAACAACCTTGCATGTTCATTATCAAAATTTGGAAAAAAGGCACAAGAAAAAAAAATACTGTAATAACATTATAGAAAGATAGGCAAACTGTTTAATATTGTTGTGACATCCTTGTGTTTGCACGTGTTTATGATTTTTCTTTTAAATACAAGAAGCATTCACCCTAATCATACTATGTTGCAACCTTTTTTATGTAACAAGAACATCTTCAAATTATTAAATACTGTCATTTCTTCAAGTCTACATATTATTCCATTGTTTGAGATAAACCATCATTTAACCTAATCCCTACTGTTGAATAGATTATAACTTTTCAGTATTAAGACTGCTGACTAATTTTGCTCAATCCCTTTATTCCATGTATGGATATACTATTAATTTGTAAGATAGCTTAAAAAAATGAAAGACAACCAGAACATAAACTGAAGGCAGGAATCTTTTTCTCTTGCATTCACTGATGTAATCCCAAGTCATATAAATGTTCAATAAATATGTGTCAAATAAATAAACCAACACACTTGCATACAATTTGTTTTTCAATTAAACACTTACCTCCATCTTTACCCTTTACAAAACTTTCCCATTCTCTAAACCACTGCATGCTGATGCAATAAAAAGTTGCTGGAGAATCCTCTTCTTGGAATGCTCTGTTGAGCTATAGGGAAAAAAAAAAATTAGTTAATATCTAGAACTTGCTTTGTAGCAGAACAGTATAATCATTTTAATTTAGTATCTGGTGGGGCGATTTCCTCCTACATATGCAAGATGGAACAGTAAACATACACTGAAGCTAAAGCTATCTTAGTACCAGGTTATGGAGTGGTTACCTACTAAATAATACTAGATTATGTCTCAAAATTTAACAAGTATACACAAAAGGAGCATAAAAAAATTAAGTGAAGGAGTCAAGGCAAAATCCTCAAAGTAATAAAAACTATACAGTACAAATCTATTCTGTAGATTTTATTTATATATTGGTCTCCTATCTACATCTTACCTTTGTCCACTTAAGATACTGGGGATATTTCTTCATCAATCAATAAAGAACAAATTCCTTATTTATTTTTATGGCTATACAGTATTCTACTGTACATATGTACCAGTCCCCTATTGGTAGGCATTCTATTATAAATACAATGCCACAATGAATAATCTTGCACATGTACTTCATGTTAAGTAATACACATATATACCAAAAACCAAACCAAACATACTGCCGTCGAGTCGGACCCGACTTACAGTGACCCGTCCTTGAGTTTCCGAGGCAGTATCACTACGGAAGTAGATTGCCCAACCTTCCTTCCAAGCAGTGGCTGGTGGGTTTGAACGGCCAGCCTTCTGGTTAGCAGTCAAGTGCCTTAGGCACTACGCTACTTCAGGCCTAATAATGTGATTTTTCTTTTCAATAAATTTCTTTTTGGCTTAAGTTAGCCAATATGTAAGCAATACTGCTTACAACCAAAGAAATCTGATAGAGAAACTGGTACAATGAGATGTAGGCAACAGACCCTCAGAAAAAGAAAAAATGTTTGGAATTTATGTAATTGTTGTTACGTGCTGTCAAATCACCTGTGACTCAGCAATCCTGCGTACAACAGAACCAAACACTGCCCGGTCCTGTGCGAGCCTCTCAATCCCTGCTATACCTAAATCCATCGTTGCAGCCACGGTGTCAATCCATCTCATCGAGGGCCTTCCCCTTCTTCATTGACCCTCCACTTTACCAAGCATGATATCCTTCTCTACCGAATGGTTCCTTCTGACAACGTGACCAAAATAGGTGAGACAAAGTCTGGCCGTTCTCACTTCCAAGGAGCATTCCGGCTGCACTTCCTCCAGGGCAGATTTGTTAGTCCTTTTAGCAACCCATGTACTCTTAGCATTCTTCAACACAACTCAAAAGCATCCAGCTTTCACATGCATATGAGGTGATTGAAAATACTATGGCTTGGGTTGTTGTTGTTGTTATGTGCCTGTCGAGTCTGCCGACTCATAGGGACCCCTCCTTGGGTTTCCGAGGCAGTATCATTACGGAAGTAGGATTGCCCAACCTTCCTTCCGAGGAGTGGCTGGTGGGTTTGAATCGCCAGCCTTCTGGTTAGCAGTCAAGTGCCTTAGGCGCTATGCTACCAGAGCTCCTTCCTAATATACTACGTAACTTAATTATTTATTAAATGTAAGTTCTCTGTGGGCAAGAATCTTTCTGGGACACAAAGGTAGCTGCTTTCATAGAGCAATGAAAAGGAGTGAAAAATGTGGCTGTCTCTGATGGTTGACAAATCTGGGTAGGCTTGTCTAAAGGCACATATTGAAAGTTGGGACTTTCTGTGATATACACCTTGTCTCCTGAGAACTGAGGCTTACAAAATGTAAAGTCAGACTGCTTCTGCCAGATGCTACTAGGACTCTTATTTTATTATTATTTTTTTAATAAGGAAAGAAGTACCTTCCTGACACAACTTCAAAATTTACGTAAGCACTTGTGATTTCCAAGTACCTAGAATTTAGGTGTTTAATATGGACCTACCTTCCTAATGCATCATCTTTTCCCAATACCAACATTCTTGAACTTACTGTATGAATCATTCATTGCCACACTATCCACATTGCTCCTGATCATGGAACTTACTTTATACAAAAGAAATGAAGAGATGGGCTCAGTTCAGTAAAATTAACTGATTGATCATATCATGTGTCATTACCCAGAAGCTGCTGGTCTCTTAACGATTCAATTTTAGTGCCTGAGTGGCAACATCTCATGGGTTGTTCCTGTCCTACAGTGTCGTACTTGGTATACACTCCACGCTAGAAACCAATATATGGTGCTGTTGTTCCCACAATGAGAATACATGAAGCTGAAAATCAGGTAAAGGAAATAGGAGAGTCTACTGACACTCACAAAAGCTGTGCTTCCCATCCCCAGAACTTCAGCCTCCACTATTTTTTTTAAAAAATTAATTCCCAAGGTGATACAACCATAGTTTCAACTAAACTGGAATTTAAAACTGCTTCCTGATCATTTGGGATTTCTCATGTTACGGAACCAATAGGCAAAGACGAGGTTACAGTATTGGCTGAACAGATCCTCGTTATAAAGGGTAAATAAAGTTTCTGTCTTACAAGATGAGCAAGAATTGTCTAGAACCCAGGAGATTATCTAGGGCACTCTATTTGCTTCCTAGGGTTGCTGTAACAAATTACCACAGACTTGGTGGCTAAAAATAAGCCTTCCTTCTCCCACAGTTCTGGAGGCCAGAAGTCTGAAATCAAGGTGTTGGCAGGTCTTTGCTCCCTCCAGAGGCTCTAGCAGAAATTCTATTTCCTTGCCTCTTTCAACTTCTGGTGGCTGTCAGCATTCCATGTGGCTACATCACTTCAATCTCTGCTTTCATCTTCACTTGACTTTCTCTTCTCTATCTTGTAAGGACACTGGTCACTGGATTTAGGGACAATCTGTGTCATCCAAGATGATCCCATATTGAGATCCTTAATTATATATGCTAATATTATTTTTCAAATTAGATCACATAGGTTCTGGGGAACAGATCATGAAAGTATCTTTTTGGGAGCCACCATTTAACTGCACTGCAGATACCATCTAGTACCTCCATGTCTAGAGAGTAAAAGCAGATGACTAGAGAAATCTAATATACCCAAGCCTACTAAGGGCTCAGATGCTTTAACAATGAAGGACTAAGTTACATTACTAGGTACCCACAACCACAACCAGTTGATGTTTGTGCTGTGAAGAGAAAACAGAATGGGTGGTAATTAGCTACAGAAACATTTTTTTCCTTGCTTTGTGTACATACTTATAAACACTACCAATTTATTTTTTTCCTTTCTTTCATTCTTATGCTATTTCATAAGCTGTTGGTATGGTATATGTTATTGGTAGTTAACCTTATAGTTTATTCTTCAGACTACAGGATATCAAAAGGAGATCATGACTGAAGTGAACAAACTAAAAGATAAGTGACCATTATCCAGAAATGAATACAATAACTAATGGGAGTTTAGGTCTCCCTATTTTAGGGAATGGGTAAATGCAACATGTGTTGGAACAAGAGCTAGAAGCATCATGTTAAACAGGTGCATGATACTGTTCATACTGTTATATGCATGTATAAATACATATGGATGTTAAGTTGACAAAGGGACATTCGTACTGGATTGTCTGCTTCTTGTTGTTGTTATGTGCCGTCAAGTCGGACCCGACTCATAGCGACCCCTCCTTGGGTTTCCAAGGCAGTATCACTATAGAAGTAAATTGCCCCATCTTTCTTCTGAGGAGTGGCTGGTGGGTTTGAACTGTCAGCCTTCTGGTTAGCAGTCAAGTGCCTTAGGCACTATGCTACCAGAGCTTCTGAATTGTCTGTTACCAGCATTATTCCCATTCATTCTTACACTCACCTACCAAAAGGTGAAGCCTACATTTCACAGGATCCCTTGCCAGGAATACCTGAGATTAGATACTGCCAATGATACACGAAATATATGGAAGTCACATAGAAAGAAAAACTTTTTATCTCTGGTGGCAGCTGTACTCATGATTGTGCATCCACAATGGCACAAACAGGATTTTGCCATCACTTCCAAGAATCTTTTCGAGAATGCTTTACTTGGTTTACAGACAGCTAACATCTGTAATAGCAGTATCCTGTGTCTTCTGAGCATCCTCCTGAAAACAGTCCATTTGGGTCCTGAGAGCAATAGCATCTACAGTTTTCAAGTTTCTAGACATTCTCTTACAACCACCACTGACAAGCAACTGAGATCATTTCCAAGAGTTTTATGCAATTTTTATTTTTTCACTTCAAAACAATCTCAAACTTACAGAAAAACTCTTAAGTACTGTGCAAAGGAGCTTTTTCCCCCTAGACCGGTTCAGAGTAAGTTGCTGAACTGGTTTTCCTTTCCTCCAAATATCTCAGTATTCATTTCTCTACACAATCACAACAAAACTGACAAAAATCAGGAAATTAAAATTGGTACAGTATTAGCAACTAGTCCTCAAGCTCCATCAAGTTTTTCTAACTGTCCCAATAATATCCTTTTATATAACAAAAAGGATCTGATAAAATCATTTGTTTCATGTAATTTTAATGCCTTTTTGGATTTCTTTAATCTAAAACAGTTTCCCAGACTTTCCTTAACTTTCATGACCCTGACAGTTTTGAAGATTACAGGCTGGTTGTTCTATAAAATGTCCCCTGATTAGGGTTTGACAGATTTTCCTCAACTGAGATTAAGGTTATGTATATTTGCATATCAAAGAAGTGATGCTGTGCTCCTATCATTTATTCTATCAGCTGACACATGATTTTAATTTGACCCATTGCTAATAATGTTTATTTTATTAACTGCACAGTAGTCGTACCAGGCTTCTCCACTGACAGCTACTCGTCTCTCTTTGTAATTAACAAGTATTTTGTTGGGAGTAAGTTGAAACTATGCAATATTCCATTCCTCATCAACTCTTCGATTTACTCACTTATTTATATCACTGTGAACTCAACCTTCCTAGTTTGTTTAATGGCTTATAATGTTACTACCGTTATTTTGAAGCTCAAATTGTCTCACATTTAGCAAGTAGGAACTCCTTCAAGTTGGCTTCTGTGTACTTCTGACTTGTCTCCATCATTCTTCGAGCACTTTCATTCCTGGCATGGTAAAATGTCTGAGCTCATCTTGTAATTTCTCTGTCCCAAGCCTGGAAAATAAGCCATTTCTCCAAGAGGGCTGGTCCCTTTTAGTGGTGAAAGATATTTGGAAGCCAAGATCTAAGAGCCAGGTACGCCTATTCCTATTAGAAGTTATGACTGCTCCCAGACCCTGTTAAGGGATGGTTAGGGAACATACATTCATCATAAGTTTCTATATTTATGTGTATACACATACAGATCATTACCTTTACTTGTATATCTATCTATATGCATACTGAAAACCATGAGTTCAACTCCAATCCAATACTAAAGAGTTTATTTTCATTTTCTCTTTTCCCATATTTCGTATTCTCTTATCTGATAATGAGAAACCTGGCTCTCATTATTTTTAATATATTTACTTATTGGATCAATCTCCCTATGTACCCAATCTTCCACTGCTACCACTGCCACTACACTACACTGCCTACCCTCCATCACTGGCCAACGTGAGCATCTCTTCTCATCAAACTAGCTCCAAACAGCCTCAATTAGGCCCACACCACAATGCAGAAGCCCTCTTCACTCTATCTAGGCTCTCAAATTCTCTTCTGGGCACTGACTCCACTCCTGTTTCTAGTGTTGAAGCTGATACCATTTCCAGATTTTCTGAAAAGCAGAGGTGGTCGTCTTGATCTCCAAGCCCCAGCTCTTTCAGTGGTTGTCTCTTATCCCCTGTATTATTCTGTTCTACTCAGAATACTAATAATGGCTTGTATTAAACAAACTCTGACTGATATAGTCATTAGCTATTTCCTTAAACATTCATGGAATGAACTATTTTTACTATTCAAGTAAAATTTACTTCTTTAGATTAGGAAGCAAATGAGGCCTAAGTGAAACAAAATAAATCCTCATCTAAAGTATCTTCTCCTATATATGAAAGTTTCTTTATTTTAGACAAGGGCAAAATAAAAATTAAATTTAAAAAAAACATGAATCTGTGAAGAGAAGCAGGTTTATATATATGTACTTGGCAGCCACAAGACGGAATGTACTGGACATCTTGTTTTGCTCTGGTCAATATCTTATCTTCTTTTACTAAAAGAATCTCAATTTTCTCTTGCAGGATTGTCACTCCTCCCACTATTCTCTCACTAGGATTATCACTAATGATAGCGCCCATTCACCCTAACATCATTTCCAATAGATTCTCTACTAGAAATTTAGATACTAAGGGAAATAGATGGAACTAGCTATTGATGTAAAGAGATTTAAGTTTTGCTACCTAGATTAAAAGAACTAGATAACAGGATTTTTCCTAATCTTTGTCCTTCATAAAACCTAGTTATTCAGCTTTTTCTTTTGATTCTGTGGTCAGACTTTCTATTACGTTCACTCAAGGAACACTTCATGATATACTTACTTTGTAGAAACTGGATATATTTAAAAATATAGAGAACCTCCCAAAAGACAAAACAATATTACATTTCACCTGGGTAGATGCTTTATAGTAGCACTAAGTTAAGGAAACCTACAATTTACTATTTCAATAAGGAGATTTCTTACCAATGCTCTTTACTGCCAATCCATAAAAACAGAACTCATAATGAAGAACTTAAACTCATTAAAGTTGCAGTGAACTGCCTGAGGTTTCATTAACATAGACCCAGAACACCTAAAATCTATTACAACTCTTTCATCCAACCATTTCTTTAACATAATACATACTTAAAAAAAACCCACTTCCATTGAGTCGCTTCTTACTCATAGTGACCCTATAAGGCAGAGTATAACAGCCCCCATAGGGTTTCCAAGGCTGAATCTTCATGAAAGCAGACTGCCATATCTTTTGCCCATGTAGCAGCTGGTGGGTTTGATCTACCAACCTTTCCAGTCAGCAGCCAAGTGCTTTAACCACTGCAACATAAGTTATTCATCTTTATCCTAGATAACTTTTACAACTTGAAAACCATCATTTTTTACCCGAATAAAAATTTCCAGTTCAGTTTTCCTTCTTTTTTCAATTTTCTCTGCCTCAATTTGGCAAGTGTGACAAATGTACAGATGGTTGACAGCTGGTCCTCCTCCATACCTAAAGCATGAAGAACTTAATAATTAAAATTATGATAATCTCAAAGAAAGCTGACATTCTAGGAAATATGCTTCTAACTTATAGTCGGTGGCTAAATCCTCAGTTAAGAATAAATCCTCATAGAAAAATTCTTAAGACAAACTAATATAAAAATCAAATAATGATACAAGGTTTTGATTTTATGTTTACTAGGTTCAACGACTACATTACTGGTTTGTTGCATGATCTGCTTCATCTGTATTTCAACCCTCCCTTATATATATATTTAGCTATAAAATATGTTAAACACCACCCACAAAGTCAAAGAGATGGCTTTCAAAAATTAGCATGCAATATAGAAATCCGAGTCATACACAGATTCAGAATCAAGTTTAAATCAGATGGAGGCTTCCTTGACCTCTCAAATAGGAGTGAGTATTCACACAATGAAATATTTTAACTATTCAAATAAGGAAAACATAATTAGTAAGGAAATTATGGTGAAAAATATTTTTAAATTGTAAAACTTTTTATGATTTAAGGGTAAGAATAATATTTAATTGTAGGATCATATAAATACACAGAATTTTAGAAATGGGACAGGCAAAATTCTTTTACAGAATGCACCTAAGTTTAATATTACAGCATACCATTATAGATAATCAGAATGTCACAATTATGACTTAATTAACTACACTAGGGTAACACTAGCTGCAAACTCATCCTACTCATACTTCTGAGTGAACAGAGGAAAACAAGAGGATAATCTATTAAAGCAGCACCAAGCATGAGGAACATATGTGAAATAACCCAATGCTCTTTTATAATCAGTTTTACAATCTGATTTTCACATCACTGCATGAAATATTCTATTGTCTTGTTTAAAAAACAAACCTGCTATATAAGTTATCCCAAATGTTCTGAGGCAGCATCAAAACCAGGTCTTCAATATAACTAGCTTTTCGTGGAGGAACACCTAAAAAAAGTTTAGAAAGGTATCTCTCATTCTTTAATTCATTTTTTGACAACTGATTTAATCACTAGCATTTTCAGCCATAGTTTAGATCCCCACCCCTGAAAAAAAAAAGTAGAAAATTAAGTCATTTTAAAGCATTTATTATGTTTCCTAAAGATGAACATATTTCCTGAAATAGACAAAATTTTGTTAACCAGTGTCTTTCAAGTTATTTCTGTAAATCTTTACTAAGTCTTAAGTTACATTCAAATTTTGTACTGAGGGAATCAGGGATAGATAAAAGACAGTCCTTTCCTTCACAGAACTTCTGAGCTAGCAGAAGGAATGAATACTAACATAAGTAACTATATTAAAAGGTGGACACAGATAAGTGCCACGACAGGTTTATAAGGATTCAGCTGTTGTTTCAAGTGAGTGGTAATCTTGTGGAGGATTGTGCCTTAACTCTGAAGTTTAGCCTAATTCCAGGTAGTTTGGATAGTTTGTGTCAGAATTCATTGCCACTAATACAGCCAAACATGAAGGCATATATTATATATTTACGTGATAAATGTGAAGCTTTTTGTTGTTGTTACATCCCAACTACATTTCTGTTCTCAGAAAAAGAAAAAAGAGGTAGCTATTCATTTACACAAAATGGATAAGAACCACATGTAGAGCTGATAGCTGAAAACACAGGCACAGGAATAGCATATAGCCCTCAGTTGAGAAAAATTTTGCATAATACCAGAGCTCACCGAACTGAAATTGGCTGTTTACATATATCTGTCTCTACTATGAAATTAGAGCTTTGAGAACAGAAATAGAGTCTTTTGTAACCTCAGGAACTAATGACAGTTTGGAATGGGTACTCAATAAATATATACTTAATGAGTAGGCTACAGAGAAAGCCTATAATTAGAGAGAAAAAGCCAATTTCTGAAACCATATGGAATTAAATGCATTAAATTGACCTGCAGATAGAGGCAATGAATAAATGGGAAATAAAAAGAAGAGGAAAGTTCTTGGCTCTTTCCTAATGTGCAAAATTACTTAACAGCAAGTCACCACCAATACTTTCCATTACAGAATTTCTTACCTCCATGAATACAAAGAAAGTCATTGTTTGAAATAGGACCAGGTTCAGCAAAGGTCTTAAATTTATTTAGCCACTGTCGAGAAATATAAAACTGAAGGAGGCTTGGTTCCATTATGTTCAACAAATTTGATATCCTTCGTCTCTCTTTTTGTGCCTCTTCACTGCTCTTCCTATTAAAAATAGTGACTCATAAAATATAATATGCATTTTATTCTACTTAGAGCAATAAATAGATTTTCCCTCCTTCTTAAACTATGCATGAACACTGACTGATACTGTAACCCTAAGAGGTCTTGGGAAGAACTCAGGAGAAATATACTCTGTATGTCTCCCAACAACATATGTACCCATAAGAGGTGATACTATATCTTAACTACTGGTAATCCACATAAATACTGGTACACCTACACACAAAAGCATGCAGTAGGCATTACAAATGTTTGTTAATAAGATCAAGTTAAACAGTTTTCTGCTTCAAAAGCTAATGCTTATTTTAATAAGCACTGAAAAATATCTAAGATAGATTATCACAGTTATTCCTCCTTTATTAGCTATTTTAGGAGAAATTTGATACTTCATTTCTAACATCAGTATATAATCTTTTTTTATTAAAATCAATCTTCCCAAAACAAAGCACACTCTCTTGCCCTTCAACTAAATGATTTAATATTTTCTTAACAAAGGATCATTCTGCAAATAATTTTATATATTTTCCTCACATAATGAAATGAGAATAAAACAATTTCTAACATTTTAGAAAGTGAGAAATCACTAAAAGTGAGTTCTTTTTTATTCGTAAAACAGCCTATCTATGAGATAGTTATTTCCTTACCTATAGAAGAGAACATAAGCTTCTGCATTTTGTACAGTAGATTCTGAAACTTCAGTGACACTTTGATCATCAAATTCATACCAGAGATTATTTAAATTGTTTCGACAATAGGCTATATAGTGTCCACCTAAATTTAAAGGGGGGACAAAAAGATTACTGCAATACAAAATTAACACTACAATAGAAGATAACTGTATCCCCAGTGCCTAACATAAAAACAAACAAACTAACTCACTGCCATGAAGTTGAGTCAACTCATAGCAGCCCCTCCTTGGGTTTCTGAGGTGGTATCTCTACAGAAGTAGATTGCCCAGTTTCCCTTCCCAGGAGTGGCTGGTGGGTTTGAACCACCAGCCTTCTGGTTAGCAGTCAAATGCCTTAGGAACTACGCCACTAGAGCTCCCGTGCCTAACACAGTGTCTGAGATACAGTAAAAAACTATGCTCCAATTTTTATTTTCAATATGTATACTCACCACTACTTCAGGAAATGAAAACAAGAAGACAAATACTGTAATCTTAAAAACCCAGTTTGAAAATGATGTTAAAGACCTTATTATTTAACTTTATACAAAATATTAATTTGCAGTATTCCAAAGTCATAGTACAAAGCATTCAATTTCCTAAAATTATTTGATAAGTTTTTAATGACAAGCAGTAAAAATTTTTTAAATTTTCCTTTTGGTAAATCAGATCTTAAGTGTGTAAGGTATCAACTCAGATGTTTTACTTTTTTTAAGAAAAATCTAAAAACAAATGTAAAATCTGTACACTTACTACTTGCAGTTCCATGATGACAAATGACTGACAGAAGGTCGTATGTCACAATTTGAGTTGGAGTATCCTTAGCAAGAAATGGCTGAAGATCCAGACCTTCTAGTGGAAATGAAACATGGGTACTGATTTTTGTGGAAAACATCAGTTCATGTCTGAATCTTTTAAGGTGGATGCATAAAATCTGAAAGAGAAGAAAACTGAAACCCTAATTTGCTGTTAACAACAACAAAAAAAAATACAAAAAGTATTCCAAGTGGTGAAATTTAGTACATTCTTCAAGAGATTTTTATTCTATAAGCAAGAAATCAAGGTACTCAATCAAAAATAAAATTATAAAGTAATACTGTATAAAATTCTCTTTAGTGTTACATACTAAAGGAGTCTATTAAACAATCATGCTGAATTAAATATCACTGTTAAACTTTATACTGCAATTATGATTAACCTGATTCCAGAGATACTAAAATGTGGAAATGATGACACATGGTATTTCCTAGTTCACTGGTACTGTTTTTTCTAATTTTATATATTAAACCTGCAATATCCTACAATGTCTGATTAAACTGTGTTCAGCCAAGTTTTGCTGTAAAAGGCACTTACAGTATATAACCCATATTTTAAAAATTCATAATCTTAGTAAGGTATACATAGTAACTGGTCAAACAGAACCATTCTATTCTTCAGTCATTCTAGAGGGTTTACTACATGGCATTACATTAATGCTATATGGTGCTACCACATAAAATAAACTGAGTTATAATAAAGCCCATACCTCAGGAAACTTTTGTACTTTACAGAACTTTACTCCATTTCTCAACCTAAGTGGGGAAAATGGAAAATCAATTTAATTAAGTCTGTCTCCCATATGTACCTAACAAAAGCTTTAGTATATTGAAATATACAGCAAAACCATTTAGAAAAAACAGAGACAAGGCAGATTAGAAATGTTCACCACGCAACTGTATGCTGCACATTTAAAACACACACTAAAAATTTGAATATCAAAATACTGAAGCACTTTTTATAAAAAAAAAAAAAATTTAAGATGTAAGTAATAAAAATGTAGTAACTCATGTAAGTCTTTGATGAAAAATATTTTTTTGAAAAAACACGTATGTGGTACTGTCTATGGCCTGGCTAAGTCTTCATAATATCCAGTTATCAAATGAAACAGGGTAAGGCAAAACTCTAATGTTAGAGAATTGATTAGTTCAGGTGAATATATTGTTATTGTGTGTGTGTGTGTGATTTAGGTGAGCGTTTACAGATTTGTATTCAACCGTTCATATACATTTTGTCTCGTGACACTGATAGCAATCCCCACATTCTAACAATTCTCTTCCCACTTCCTCTCTGTGGTTATCTTTTCCCCATGTCCTTTTCTATACATTTCTGCCCTCTGAGCTATCTCCCTGTGCAAAAGCTGCCCTACTGATCCCCCATGGTTGATTGTTCTAAGGAGTGTACCTGCCTGGTGTAACTGTTCACCTTGTAGGCCTGCCGTGTGGCTGGAAGCTATGGGAATGAACTCAATTCTAGGCCTGAAGATACCTAGCGGCCATAGTCTCAGGAGTTTCACCAGTTTCTATCAGAGTAGCATGCTTGGTCTTTTTCATGATTTTGAGTTTGGTTTCACATTTTTCTCCCACTCTATGCAGGATCTCCAATTTTGATCCCTTTCTTAGTATTTGACAATAGTAGCTGGGCACCATCTAGTTCTTCTGGTCTCAAGGTCATGTAGGCTGAGGTTTGCATGGTCCATTAGTCCCACAGACTAATTGTTTCTGTGTGTCTTTGGTTTCCTTTTTTCTTTTTGTTCTGGATGAGGAGAGACTAACTGTTGCATCTTAGATGGTCATTTGCAGGCTTTTAAGACCCCAGCTGCTACTCACTAAAAATGTTTTTGTGTAGTATATTATGCCAACTGAGTTTAATGTCCCCTGCAACCATGGTCCCAAGCCCACAGGCCCAGTGACTCACTCCCTCAGGGTGTTTGGCTATGGCTACAAGTTATCATAACTTTGCCCCATTAGCTCTATTATAGATATGGACATTCTTATAGCACAGACAAATATGTACATAGAAGTATCATCTGCTAAACTTACATATGTATTTTCCCTTTTGCCTACCCATTCCTAATCATTTTGCCTGTCTACCTATGTATCTACCTGTAGATTAATGTTACTACTGATAATGCAGTATTGTGTATGTAAAAGTGTTATACCTTTGTTGTCTATACCTTGTGCAACTCTCCATGTCTTCTTTTTCCTTAGTTATTGTGCTGGTTGTTCGCTTCTGGTATACTGCTTTTCTCTTCACCCAAATCAGTACTTAGCTCTTATCTATATAGTAATATTCCTTCCCCTTCCACCTCATCCCTGATAACCATCAAAGAAAGTTTCCTTTCAGTGTAAACCTTTCCTTGGCTTTTCATAATAGTGGGCTCATACAATATTGTTCTTCTATGACTGACTTATTTCACTCAGCAGAATGTCCTCCAAGTTCATTCATGTTATGAGGTGTTTTATGGATTCTTCATTATTGTTTAGTATTGCATAGTATTCCATTGTGTATATGTACCATAGTTTGGTTATCCATTCACCTGTTGATGGGCAGGCACTTAGGTTGTTTCCATCTCTACTATTGTCAATAGTGCTGCAATGAGTGCTTCTTGAGGATACATACCTAGTAGTGGGACTGCTGGATCAAATGGTTATTTCTAACTTTTTAAGGAAGTACCATACTATTGTCCACAGTAGTTTTATCATTTTACAGTCCCACTAGCAGTGTATGAGAGTTCCAATTTCTCCAAACCCTTACAAGCATATGTTATTTCTATCTTGTTGAACTTTCCTATTATTTATTGCTGGAGTAAGACATTACCTCAATGTTAATAATAATTTTTGTTGAATACAGAAATAAACAGCTTGAAATAAGGATTACTATTAATAATCAGTATTAATATACATGTGACAGATTTCTACTTTGGATCTGGGGATAGAGCAAAGTGCTTTTCCATCTCCAATGTATCTTTTTCCTAGTCTGTTTTGCTTCAAGCTACTCCCCCAGGTCAACTTCTTCTAAAGTTGTCAGCTAAGGCTTTAAGACAAACTAAACTGGTAATTAAATAGTGGTTAGAGGTAAAGTTTCTCTAGCAAGGATAAGACAGCTTTTCATCTTTATCATCAACCAAACAGATTCCTTTTTGTCATAAAGAGGCCCAACAGTTGCAGATCAACAATGCTCTGAAGTTAACTGCCAACAACCAGGAGTGTGTATTATTATAAAGGCATTAAAACAGTTGTTGTCTAATCTCTTCTGACTCTTAGGGCTTCTGTGTCACTATTTTTCTATTACAGAGACCCAGAAAAATTTTCAAGTTCAGTCTATCTCAAAAATAGTTTCTATCATTAATTCTCTAATCACTTTTCTTTCTAATTTACCAACCAAGAAGCCTTAATAGTCTGAACTTATAATCAGATAGAAAATATGAGCTGGTAATACATATTAAGAAATAAAATAAGACATTTTAAAATTGTCTTTCTATTCCTTTTTGGGGGGGGCAGTGTTTTAGCAGAAACTTTTTTTTAATAAAAATATTCCTATAGTTAGTTATAATCACAAAAAGTTTTATAAGCTCAGCTTACTTGTATCGCTATACCTGTAAGGCTAAAACACTATGGTAATTTAGTCTTTGAATTTTTTAATGCACTCTGGTCAGAGTTGTCATTATTACTCAATTACAATGATGCTTTGAATCACACTGTTTTGTCTGCACATGCTACAAGCACACGTTGTTTTCGTTGCTGCCAGTGCTTTTATAATCACTGATTCTGTCAAATTTTCTGGTATAAACTGTCCTTGTATTCTGCCATCAAATGGCAGAAAACATCAAGGTTAGTATAATCTTTTTGATTTTTAGGAAAGTTTAAACTATAGACTTTTAATAGTGACTTTCACTTTCTGAATCTAACTTTTAATATGGCAATACATAAGAAAATATTGTCTTGCTTGTGATTTAACCTCTGTAATGAAAATATATGTCATTATCCTAGTGCACCTTTTGCAACATATCTGGAAAATGTTTTACACATGGAGATATCAAGCTCAGCTGGCATAACACAGGATATAAAAATATTTTTCTAACCCTGAAGGAGTGAGTCACTGGGCTCACAGGCTCATGACTGTGGTTGAGGGGGACCTCAAGCTCAATTAGCATAAAGTACTACACCAAAAACATCATTCTACATCCTACATTGGTGAGTAGTGACTGGGGTCTTAAAGCTTGCAAATGGCTATCTAAGATGCAAGAATTGTTCTCTCCTTGTCCAGAACAAAGAAGAAAGAAAAATAAAGATGCATGGAAACAATTAGCCCATGGGACTAGAGGACCATGCAAACCTCAGCCTACATGACCCTGAGACCAGAAGAACTAGATGGTACCCAGCTACTACTGTCAAACACTTAACTTAGAAGGGATCAAAATTGGAGATTCTGGACAGAGTGGAAGAAAAATATGGAACCAAACTAAAAATCATGAAAAAGACCAAGCTTACCAGTCTGATAGAGATTGGTGAAACTCCTGAGACTATGGTCCATAGTTACCCTTCTGGCCTGGAATTGAACTCACTCCCATAGCTTCCAGCCACACAACAGACAGGCCTACAAGGTGAACAACTATACCAGGTAGGTACACTCCTTAGAACAATCAACCATGGATGATCAGAAGGCAGTATTTGCACAAGGAGATAGCTCAGAGGACAGGAATGCATAGGAAAGAAGGATACAGGAAAAAGGTAACTACAGGGAGGAAGTGGGAAGACAGCTGTTATATTATGGAGATTACAATAAATGTCATGAAATAAAATTTGTATGAACTGTTGAGTAGAAAATGGAAAATGGATTTGATCTGTAAACTTTCACCCAAATCACAATATATATATTTCTATTTACTTCAGTGAGTAGCAACTGGGGACTTAAACAGCTTGCAAGTAGCCATCTAAGATGCAACTATTGATCTTTCCTTGTCTGGAACAAAGAAGAGTGAGGAAAATCAAAGATGCATGGGAACAGTTAGTCCAAAAGGACTAATGGACCATGAGAACCTCAGCCTATATGACCCTGAGACCAGAAGAACTAGATGGTGCTTGGCTAATAAAGCCAACCACTCTGAAAGACTTCAAAATTGGAAATCCTGGATAGAGTAATAGAAAAATGTGGAACAAAATTTGAAAACATAAGAAAGACCAGGTTTACTGGTAAAATAGAGACTGGTGAAACCTGTGAGACTGTGGCCACAAGTCACCCTTTAGGCCTAGAATTGGACTCACTCCTATGACTTAACTCTCAGCCAAATGATAAACAGGCCTATAGCTGAACAGCTATACCAGGGAGATGTACTCCTTAGAACAATCAATCATGGGAGATCAGAAGGGCAGCATTTGTACAGAGAAAAAAGAAGGGAAGCAGGAATGCATAGACAAGAAGGACCACAAGGAGGAAGTGGAAGGAAAGCTGTTAAACTGCAGAGAATATAATCAGTGTCACAAAACGTATATGAATTGTTGAATGTAAAATAAATATGCTTTGTAAAATTTTACCCATATCACAAGAAAAAGTTAAAAAGATAATGTTTTATGCTAAATCATATACCTAATTCACATCACAAAATATACATTTCAGCATCTTACGTAAGTCTATTAAAATTTTTTAATTTTTACCTAAAATTTGTTTTATAGATCAACCAATCTCTTTTTAAGGCCCTTTAGTGGCATAGTGTGTAATACATTTGACCAGAGGTTAAGTGGTTCAAACCAACCAGCTGTTCTGTGGGAAGATGAAGCAATCTACTTCCATAAAGATTTACAGTCTTAAAAACCCAATGAGATCAGTCAGAGTCAGAATCGACTTGATGGCAGTGGGTGTGGTTTATTTTTTTAAATCTCTCTTTATTACCAGGACAAAACTTCAGGGACTGTATTTTTCCAAACTACAGTGGGAAATTAATTCCACAGATGTCCAATTAAAACCATTTCAAATGCAAAAGTAGCATTTTAAACACAAAACATGTAATCAAAACCACTGTCACTGTAACTTACTTTTTGCATTTTTCACAACTGTACATATTGTCACCTGCGAATAGAACAGACTTGGTCATTCTTCTCAAATTAAAAGCAATTATTTTCTTATGGTTCTGCAATTCTTTGATGCTGCCACATGCTGACCTCACAGTATACGAAAACAAGTGTCATTTTTCAGTCTCCACTCATGAGTCAGCTCATGATGTTCACTTTGCTTATAACGCCATCGCTTAACCTCCTCTCAACTTAAAGGCCTTCCTCAAATAACATCCTTCCCACGTATTCATTTAACAAAATTTACGGACTGCCTGTCATATGTTAAACTCTATGCAAGGTGTTCAGCACACAAAAATAGCAAAAGATCTTAAATAATATGAAGGACCTCACAACTAGTCTAGTTTAGCTATGTACATAAGTCTATTATGTGGTTGATCTTTTTCTTCCTTGAATTCCCAAAGCAACTTTAACATATCCTGTTGTCTTGTCCTACAGGAATTTATATAAATTCTTTCAGGATGTAATATACAGGCAGTTCTAGGTTTCAAATGAGATCTGCTCCTAATTGTGTCTTTAAGAATTTGTGAGTTGGAACAGGTGCATACAGTTCTGATTTAGCCTGACTTTAGTGCAAGAAAAAAGGAGATCCGGTGGTGCTAGGTTTAAGGCATTGGGCTATTAACCAAAAGGTCAGCAGTTCAAACCCACCAGCTGCTCTGTGGGAGAAAGATGAAGCAGTCTGCTTCAGTAAAGATTTATAGCCTTGGAAATCCTATGGAGGTCACTTTGAGTCAGAATTGACTCGATGGCAGTGAGTTTTAGTGCAAGAAAAGGCTCGAAGGCTTTTAAATGATTTAAAAGGCATGTGCAGCATGTGAAATGTGAAGGTGATTGTGATGAAGAATTTGTTGCAAGTAGGGGTTGGTTCAGTCGTTTCAAAGTAAGGGCAAATTTACCTAACATTAAAGCAGGGCTTTAAATATGGTGACACCCACTCAAAGATGGCGGCTGACCACACCACTTTGAATGCATGTGACTCTCCACAGTTCTGCCAGTAATTCACTCATGCATCAGACTTCTGAAAGGACTGACTATGCTTCTTCCAAGTCTGCCATTCCAGAGTTTTGACCCATAATTTTTTCCATTCCGGATACCATGACAAATCATTCAAACTGTAAAAAGTCTGATCTGTTCCTGTTTCACTTTGTCGGCCATGACAGAATTGTTTAGAAGCCCTGCATTAAAGGCCAAGGAGAAGTTGTCTGTTAGTCAGACATTCATAATCCAAGTAATGCCTGTATGTTTTATTTATATTCATAGTGCCATGAATATACATATTAGCCAGTGTATAGTGCCAAACAGGCAAGTACTTATGAATGTAAGTCACCTTAAAACTTCACTACTATGAATATATTTAAAGTTTAGTCCCACTAGTACTTTAGATTCACACAATTTAGTCATAATGAAAATTTTTATGTTTCTTACCTTTTAGTTCATCTCTGGCGAAGAAGGCAGCAAGACAATCTTGCAAGGTTACTACTGGACCCCAAAACCAGCTAGGGACACATGAGACAACAAACCTGAAACATCATTGACAGAAAAAAAAAAAGGAAGTGTTCTGCCAGTACAGCAGAAACAGCAGTTTTAACAAACAATAAATACAAAGAAAAAAAATACATACCTTTTCACATATTCCATGAAAAAAGCTATCCATCCTTGTGGAGCATATGCTTCACCACATGATCCTGCTTTTACTATAGAAGTTGGATGACTCGATGAATGCAGCTTAGCAAGGTCCTCCTTGCCAGGAATTGGCAAGGAGAGATCCTGAAAGGTCTCGAGGGTTACAGACACCTAAAATTGTTTTGTGTTTTAAAAATGAAATGAAAATAATACAGTACAAACATTTATGAAGACAGATTTTAGACTGCAAAGATCAAAGCAAGTTAAGCAAAAAACAAACAAAAAATAAGAATTGCTTTTACACTAATAACAGTAGGGGGAAAAAAAGCATTTGCTATGCATCAGGTGCTATTATAAATGGTTTAGATAAAATCATTTTCAATCTTCACCTAAAAACTCTGAGGGAGTTACCAGCATCCCCATTACATTCAAGGACAATGTGACTTAGAGAAGTGCTTCAAAACCAGCCACTGTGGCTTGAAATTCAAACTCTTAAGCTCTACTGCACTGGACTTCGGAAATGGGCCTTTCAAGATAGTTTTTTAATAAAGAGATGTAAAACCTGACATTAAATTTTTAATTAGTTAAACACATTTCTTGGTATTTCTACTTACATAATTGACCAAAAGAGCCTACTTTAAAATAATCCTGTTGAAAGTCATTGTTGTTGTTGTTGTTGTTACATGCCGTCGAGTCGGACCCGACTCATAGCAACCCCTCCTTGGGTTTCAGAGGCAGTATCACTACAGAAGTAGATTGCCCCATTAGATTTGACCCAAAATCTCAACATAATAATTAGAAATTGGGGGGGCTTAAGGTTTTTTGTTTTTTTTTTTAATTTTGAAGGATACTATTTTATATTATAGGAGCTCTGGTGGCATAGTGCCTAAGGCATATGACTGCTAATCAGAAGGCTTGCAGTTCAGTCCCACCAGCCACTCCTTGGAAGGAGGACTGGGCAATCTACTTCTGTAGAGATACCGCCTCAAAACCCAAGGAAGGGTCGCTATGAGTTTAAATTGACTCAACGGCAGTGTCTTTGTTTTTTTCAATTTCGTATTTCAGATATGAGTATCACTTAGTGGCAATAAGTTCAATATTCCAAATGAATTTAGATCATATGGTTACCTGATTAATTTACTAAAGGAAAACTTCTTAACAGATCAAAGAAACTTTGAGGAATAGGAAAAAAGAGTTGAAAAAGGTAATTTCACAGACATTCTAAGATAGTACAGATAGAATATTAATTCACATTTTAAATTAGAGGTATTATTAAAGAACTTATGGTCGTTTTAATTTATGCTCATGTTACTATCTATCAGTTTGTCACAACCTTTATTATATGACCCCCAATATAAGTAAGGAAAAATATTTACAAGCCAGAGTGCAATCAAACATAGGAAATACATTCATAACTTTATGCCCATGAATATCAACAGTTTCCAAGCATACTTATTTCATCAGCCTTGGAAGAAAATGCATGCAGCACCAATTCTTCTTGTTGAGCAACTTCTCATGTTTATAGGTGATCAAAAATAGGCAAAGACCTGAGTTAATTTTTCCTGCTAATGCAGGCCTATTCAATGAGGAGTCAAAATCAATCTTTAAGGATGTTGCTCTTACTTCTGAAAAAAAGTTCTTCTCTTAGGTTCAATTTATATTGATGTAAACATGTCAACATGATTATCAGTAATAGAAGGAATTAAACGTTATATTTTTTAAATGCTGTTTTGCTGGATTTTTTAAAAAGACCATTTGACAGAAATTTCCCATACTTACCCTGTCACAAGTCAGACACTGCACTGAACTAATAATTGTTCCATCAAATATGTCTGAAATAACACTTCTGTATTTCTTGTGCTGTTTTTTCCTCTTAGGAGATGATGCAGATTGAGCTAGGATTTAAAGACAAGTATAGAACATTAAAAAAAAAAAAATCACCTTTTCCCCTAAGAGCAGGAACAAGACAAGGATGTCCATACCCACTTTTTTTTTTTTTTTAAATTGTGATTTGGGTGAAAGTTTACAGAGCAAATTCATTTTCCATACAGCAGTTCATATACATTTCGGCTCATGACATTGACTGCAATTTCCCACAATGTAACAGCTCTCTTCTCACTTTCTCCCCAGTTACTTCTTCCCTGTATCCTTCCCTCCCGTGCACTCCTTGCCCCTGAAGCAGTCTCCCTGTGCATACACTGCCCTTCTGTTCTCCCATGATTGATGTCTCCAAGGAATGTATCCACCTGATGGAAATGTTCAGCCCATATGCTGGTCTTTTATTTGGCAGGAAGTCACCAGAGTGGGTATCAATTCCAGACCTGAAGGGCAGCTAGGGGCCATATCTCAGGGGTTCCACCAGGCTCTATCAGACCAGCAAACCTGGTCTTTTTTTTTTTTTTAATATATAAATTTGAGTTTTGTTCCACATTGTTCTCCCACTCTATCCAGGATCTCCTACAAAGACCCCCGTCCAAGTGGTTCACAGTGGTAGCTAGGCACCATCCAGTTCTTCTGGTCTCATGGTCATATAGGCCAAGGATCACATAGTCTACCAGTCCCTTGAACTAATTGTTTCCACACATCTTTGGTTTTCTTCATTCGTATTTGCTCTGGATGAGGAGAGACCCACTGTTGCATCTAGATGGCTGCTTGAAAGCTTTTAAGATCCCAGCCGCTACTCACCAACGTAAGATGTGGAACAATGTTTTGGTGTAGTATGTTATGCCAATTGAGCTTGATGGCCCCTGGGACCATGGTCCCGAGCCCAAAAGTCCCAACTACTTGTTCCCTCTGGCCACACCCACTTTTACCACTGCTATTCAATCCTGTATGGGAAATTTTAACCAGATTAATTAGGCAAGAAAAAGAAATAAAGAACATCCAAATTGGAAAGGAAGACATAAAATGCCTTCACAAATGATATGATCGTATATATAGATACAAAGAATACAAAAAAGAGCTGCTAAATGAATTTGGCAAAGTTGTAAGGTGCAAAATCAATATACCCAAGTCAATCATGTTCCTATACAGCAGCAATGAATAAACCAAAAATGAAATTAAGAAAACAATTTCATTTGTAGTAGCATCTTTCTGAAGGAATGAAATAACCTAGGAATTAAACAAGGAGGTGAAACACTTATACATTGAAAACAACAGTGCTGAAAGAAATTAATGAACACCTAAATAAATGTCCATGGACAGCTAAGACTTAATACTGTTAAGATGTCAGTAATACCAAAAGCAATCCTAGATTAAACATAATCCCTATCAAAAATCTAATAAGGTTTTTTTGCGGAAATGAAAAAGCCACTTTTAAAATTCATATGGAATTGCAAGGGGTTCGAGTAGCCAAAAGAATACTGAAAAATATCAAAGTTAGAGGACTCACACTTCCTGATTTCAAACCTTACTATAAAGCTACAATAATCAAAACAGTTAAGGGGAAAGGAGGAAAGTATAGCATTGGCATTAGGACAGACATATAGACCAAACAAATAGAACTGAGTCCGGAAGTAAACCCATACACCATCGCCAGTTGGTTTTCAGTAAAAGCACCAACTCCATGCAATGGGGAAAAAATAGTCTCTTCGATAATGAATGGTCCTTGGACAACTGGATCTCCACATGCAGAAGAATGAGTTGGATTCCTACCTCTCACCTCATACAAAACTTAACTCAAAATGTATCAAAAACCTGGAAATAAGAGCTAAAATTGTGAAACTCCTAGAGGAAAATATAGCAGTAAATCTTCAAGACTTTGTATTTGGTAATGGACTCCTAGATATGACACCAAACCATGAATGAAAGAAAAAATGCATACATTTGATTTCATTAAAATGAAAAACTTTTGTGCTTCAACAGGTTTTATTACGAAAGTGAAAAGACAACCTATGGAATGGTAAAAATATTTGGAAATCATTTATGTGATGAGGGCTTGATAATCGGAATATATAAAGAAGTTCTATAATGCAACAATGAAAAGACAAAACAACCCAATCAAAAAATGGGCATAGGATAGGAATAAACACTTCTCCAAAGAAGATATACAAATGGTGAATGAGCACATGAAAAGACATTCAATGTCATTAGTCATTAGGGACAGGCCAAAAAAAAAAGACCACAGTGAGGTATCGCTTTATACCCATTTAAGATGGCTATCATGTAAAAAAAAAAAAAAAAAGGAAAATGACAATTATTGGGAAGAATGTCGAGAAACTGGAACTCACACAATACTGGTAGAAATGTAAAATGGTGCAGCCACTATAGAAATCATTTTGTTTCCTCAAAAACTTAAGCACAGAACTACCAACCATATGTCTCAGTAATTCTATTCCTAGGTATATACCCAAAAGAACTGAAAGTAGACACTCAACTACTTGTGCACCAATGTTCATCACAGCATTATTCACAATTTTGTTGGACAACCCAAGTGCTCAACTGTAGATGAATATATAAACAAAATGTGGTATAGCCACACAGCGGAAATTTATTCGGCTATTAGAAATATCTATAGTAGGCAAATTCATTGAGACAGAACGCATATTAGAGGTTACCAGGGGTTAGAGGAAGGGAAGAGGGGGAGTTATTACATGGGTACAAAGTTTCTGTTTGGGGTGATCGAAAGTTTTGGAAATGGATGGTGGTACATGTTGCACAACAATCTGAATATAGTTAATGTCCATGAATTGTACACTTACAGGTAGTTAAAATGGCAAATGTTTTATATATATATATATATATATATATATATATATATATATATATTTTAACACACACAAAAAAAATTTTCTCAGATCAAAGTAGTTCCTTTAATATTCTTCTCTAGACTCCTTAACAGTAAATATTATTATACTAAGAAGAAATTTTCAAAATACAATTCAGGAATACTACTTTGAAAAGACACAAAGAAATCAATCAGATAGGACTTATGCTGGTTAATATATATATATATGTATATATATATATATGTATATATATATATATATACATATATATATATATATATATATATATATATATATATATATATATATATATAATACATACACACACATGACCCTTGGCCACTATCTGATGTTATATATATATATGTGTGTGTGTGTCTAATGTATGAGAAAGTGAAAAGAACTCTGAATAAGCACAATGTTCAGATCAATTTTTCCATATGCAGAATTAAAGGTTTGGCCTCATCATGGTTATGTTCAACAAGTCAAGGAAAGGAAAAGGAAAAGAGTTTAGGCAATGGGGAAAAAGGTAAAGATGAAACAGGAGAGGTTCAGTCTCCCTATCTTGACTTCAATCAAAGCAATTCTGCTATTGTTTATCTGCTTTTGCTTCCAAGTAAGGTTTTATTTGAAAAAAATGATTCTGAGACTTCAAAACAGTTGAAAACCACTGCACTGGGAGATTTTGGAGTTCAACTGAGATTTAAAATTAAATAGCTTTGTTTAAATTTTTGCCCGTTCACAAATGTGTTTATTATAAACTTTTAAGAGCTTTTTATATGTCTTGAATACAAGTTCTTTGTCAAATACATGATTTACATGTATTTTCTCCCATTCTTTTAATTTCTTAAGTGTCTTTGCCAAGAAAAAGTTTTTAATTTGTAGGTCCAATTTATCTTTTTTTTTCATTTATAAAGCACACTTTTTATGTCATATCCAAGAATTTTTTTGCCCAAATCAAAGTCAAGACAACTTTCTCCTATGTTTTCTTCTAAGAGTTTTATAGTTTACATATTTATTTTATTGCTTTTGATAATACAGATAAAAAAGTATACACCAACCAATTCACCATTTCTACAAGCATAGTTCAGTGACACTGATCTTTGAGTTGTACAATCATTCTCAACCTCCCTTCCTAAGTTTTTCCTTCCCCAATAACATAAACTATCCCCTAAGCTTCCTATCTAATCTTTCAAGCTGCTGTTGTCAATTTGATCCTTTATAAATATTTCTTAAAAAAGAACACAGTGCTCAAAGCAGACATTTTTTACTAGTTCAGCTAAACTATTATTTAGTTAAGAAGACCGAAAAGATACTTTTGGTTTAAGGTTTAAAGATTATCTCAGGGCAACAGTTTCAGGGATCATCCAGGATCCATGGCTTGAGACAGCCTGGAGTCCATGAGGTCTAGAAATTCTGTTTTGCATTTTTCCACTTTTGATCAGGATTCTTGCAGAGATGCAGATCAAAATATTCAGTAATAGTTGTGGGGCACCATCCAGTTCTTCTAGTCTCATGGCAAAGGAGGCAGCTATTCATAAAGCAATAACCACACATTCCATATCATCTTCCTATTTCCTATCTTTCTTCCTCTGTTGCTCTGGGCAAATAGAGACCAAATGTTGTGCCTTGCACAGCTGCTAGGAAGCTTCTAAGACCCCAGGCACTACAAAACAAACTAGGAGGTAGAACAGAAATACTAAACATGTTATTAGGCCAATCATCTGGGATGTCCCATGAAACCATGATCCTAAACCTCCAAACCAAGGAACCAAACCCTATGAAGTGTTTGGTTATACATAAGCAGCTTCAGCAGTTACTTTTCTTTTTGGTTGAAATTTGCCCAATGCAATACATCTTCTGATGTCCTGATGGCTGCTTCCATTGGTGTTGATTGTAGAACCAAGTAATATGAAGTCTTTGACGACTTCAATCTTTTCTCCACTTATTGTGATGCTGCTTATTGGTCCAGTTGTGAGGATTTTTGTTTTATACTGAAATATAATCCATACTGCAGACTGTAGTCTTCAATCTTCATCGGCAAGTGCTTCAAGTCATCCTCACTTTTCAGCAAGCAAAGTTGTCTCATCTGCATATTGCAGGTTGTTAATGAGTCTTCCTCCAATCCTGATGCCACGTTCTTCTTCATATAGTCTAGCTTCTCAGATTATTTGTTCAGCAAACAGACTGAATAAGTATGGTGAAAAGATACAACCCTGATGCACTCCTTTCTTGATTTTAAACCTTTCAGTGTCCCTTTGTTCTGTTTGAATGACAGGTTCCTGGTCTATGTACAGGTTCCTCATGAGCACAATTAAGTGTTCTGGAATTCCCATCCTTATCAATGTTATCCATAATTTGTTATGATCCACACAATCTAATGCTTTTGCACAGTCAATAAAACGTAAGTAAACATCTTTCTAGCATTCTTTGCTTTCAGCTAAGATTCATCTGACATCAGTAATGATATCCCTCCTTCCACGCTGCAGTGTAGTAAATTATTTTGGGTGGCTTTTCTACCAGTAAGTCTTTGTAAACTCCAAGGTGGGATTTGCTATGAGCAACTGAGCAGATCCTGATTGCTGAAGGTGTCCACCTGGAGTATTTCTGTTGGGAGTGGCACAAAACAATGTTCTGGGAGGTTCCCACTCTCTCTCAGGTGCTTAGAGTTCTGATGCTATAATTGGCTAGTTTGACCACCCTGCCGGGCTCAAAAGGAGGCCTCCTAGAGGCAGAACTCTCTCGGACTGCTGGTTGAGGAAGATGTGCTGCTGAAAGAGACACACACCCCAGAAAGAGACACGTGCTGCTGGGAAAGAGGCGCGAGAGACACGCATTGCTGAGTGAGACACCGAGGGACCAGCACTGCTGGGAGAGAGACTGTGAGAGACTTTTGGCTGAGGGACAGTGGGCTGGGAGAGAGACTGACTGTTCTTCCTGAACTTGAATTGTAGTCTGGTGCTTCCCTAATAAACCTCATAATCTGTGAGCTCTGTGTGGCCACTGCAGAGAATTATCAAACCCAGGAGAGAGGTGGTGGGTGCTTTGGGAGGAACGGTTGGTGAAAGGGCTGGAGGGGGCAGCATGTCTGGCCTTGTAGGAATAGGCCTTGGGTTACTGCTGGTAATCCTGTCTTCCTCTTGTAGGGTTAGAGGAGGTCAGAACATGGGGCCTCCTCGCCATTTCTGCACATGTCTTCTTCTGAATCCAGTTTGCATTTCTGGAAGCTCTCTGTCAATATACTGCGGCAACCAGTTTTGAATTATCTTCAGTAAGATTTTACTTGCATGCAATATTAATGATACTAATAATTTATCCACAGAATGTGGAAATTACTGAACAATATCATTAATATCTCACACAAGTAAGTATCATCAGTGCTCCTTTAAAAAAATGAAAAAATCTCCTATATAAGACCAAATGATCAACAATTACTTTAAAACAAATATGAGAATGTATGGGGGCAGGGAATCAAGATTAATGCAAATGGAGCAACCAGAACAGAAATATGATAATATTCATTCATGTATTATGAAGAATGTAACCAATGTCACTGAACAACTTGTATAGAAACTGCTGAATGGGAAACTAAACTGCTGTATAAACCTTAACCAAAACATAATAAAATATTATTTAAAAAAAAACAAAACTTATAACCTAGTAACTCTAATTCTAGGTATTTACACTAGAGAAGTAACAATTTACATTCACACAAAAATCCGTACACAGGTGTTATAGTAGCATTACTCATAATCACCAGAACTAGAAACCATCCAAATGTCCATCAATGAATGAATGGGATAAACTGTGATATAACCACATTGCTCATCAACAGATAACTAACAATGTGACTACACCTCAAATGCATTATGCTAAGTGAAAGAACTTAGCTTGAAAAGACTATATATATACTCTATGACTCCATTTATGACATTCTGAAAAAGGCAAAAGAGAACAGAGAAGAGATCAACATTGCCTGGGCTTAGGCACAGCATAAAGAGAATTCCTGTTTGTGGTGGCAGTAACAAAAATCTATGCAGTTGTTAAAACTCAACAGTACGCTACACAAAAAAAATATTAATTGCACTATATGTAAATTAAAGAGTTCCACACACAACAAATGTTTATTTAAATCATGGTTCTATTTAAATCATGGTTCTGTAAAATTATTATCAAGTCAACTTGAAAGGACAGAAAAATAATTCATGATTAACACTTGAATAACTGAAACCTTTACCTTTTTTCTGTGTGGGTGCCAATCCTGGCCACAAATTGCCTGATTTTGGAGGGCTTGTTGATAAACGTGAATTAACACCTTCATTTGATGGAAGGATCTGTGGTGCAGGTAGGTCATTCAAATGGACATCAGTGATATATTCTGTAATATTTAAAATCTGCATTATAACCTTAAATGTTAAAATTCTTCCACATGTCAAATAATACTAATTAATTTAAAGATTTCTTCATTGTTTTTTAACATAATTTACATTAAAAAATGTCAGGTGAAATAATTTATGGATGAAGTATTCCTAAGCAAAATGAATTATTTTTCTAACTAGGACCTCAATTAATGTTTATAACATACTACTGTTGTAGGCAATTCAGGAAGTAAAAAAAACTGTCCTATTAGTCCAGATTTAATATTAAGATATAAAAAAAGACATTCAAGATAGTTTTTTTTCAAAACCAACTATGCTGGAGAAGAGATTATCCTCCCAAACTAACATAGTAATCATTAACATGGTATGTTAGTAATCTAACACAAACAAGAAATTTCAACATAATCATAAAATATTCCTACAGATAAGGGAAACATGTACTTCTCTGTCAGAATAGAAATTTCAGAATTAAATTATAAGATGAACTGAGAAAAGGTAAGTTCCCTGAGAATTATCATGATCGTTTGTTGTTAGATTCCAAGTATGTAACACACAGCCCTATCAAGGCAAGGGACTTACTTATAAGGATTCAATAAATATTTTCATAGAAGACCCTGATATAGAGAATCTTTAAGGATTTTTCCAAAGAATGTACAAATATTTCCCACATATATCAAAACCAAACCAAACTCACTGCCATCGAGTCGATTCCAACTCATAGCAGCTTTCATTGGGTTTCCAAGGTGGTAAATCTTTAGAGAAGTAGATTGCCCCATTCTCCTTCCACGGAGTGGCTGGTGGGTTTGAACCACGAACCTTCTGGTTAGCAGTCAAATGCCTTAGGGACTGTGCCACCAGATCTCCTTATTTTTCACACAGGCATTTCTTACGTCAACCATGAGTAAAAGCAGATTGATTATTTGATGGTTAGAGGAAGAAATCACTCAAGGCCTTTCTAAAAGGAACAGTTAATGCAATCTAGGTCAGTAACTGGGAAAATTTTTTTCTGTAAAGGATCAGATAGTGTCTATAAACAAAATAATACTATCACTTTAATGAACAAATTATTAAATTGTCACCTGAAGCTCTGCTGTGTATTTGCACTTTGACAGTTTCCTGGTTGTTCAAGTTGACTGTTTCAGATACAGATTCTCTATCTTTATCTAATTCTCCTTCTGAATTCATTTTATTAATCTTATTGCACATCTTCTCCTTTTGCCAGTCTTTTGACATTTCTGAATTGTTGTCATCTTCTTGAATTAACATTGTTGTTTCATTATTATCTTCTGGAAAGCCCCTAGAGCCACTTTCATTTTCGGCTTTATCACTACTGCCACAAGATTCACAGGATTGAAAATCTACATCTGACTGGCTTTTGTCTTCTTCCATATTCTCCTCAGTCGTTATAGTTTGAGTGTCTTCCTCTACTTCCATGACCTGCTCTTTCAATTCTTCATGAAGCAGATCCATTAAACATCGAAGAAATTCTTGAGCATCCTAGTATATCAGCAACATAGATATTACCACTTCATTAAAAATATGTTTATGTAGAAACTTAAAGGTAAATATACAAAATGTGGTTATCAGTTGATTTATAAATGCATAGTATTATATTGAATACAAGTTTGTAGAACATAGGCACTGGCGGGATAGTAAAATTATAAGCAACAAATATGAAAAAAGATTACTAATTTTGGTAAATACACATAAAATGATGACCCCAAAATATAAATGACAACATTAAACCATAACAGCATTTTTTCACCAAGCTTATAAAACATTATGATTGAAAAGCAATGTAAAAATTTACCTGCTGGGAATACCCCCGAAATGTTGGATTTACAGTTTTAATTCCTTGAAACAGATTAGTAGGCACCACAGATCCTGGCCTGAGTAAGAAGACATAATTAAAGAGATAAATTCTGTGATTTTAAATTTTTATTTCAGAAACTAATAACCAAGAATTCAAAGTGTTAAATAAACTGAAAAGTGACCACGTTTCAAAAATCATTCAGAAACGTCCTGTACTTTTCATGGGCTCATCTGAACATTTTATCATTGCTAAAAACCCTTGTAGTTGATTCTAACTCATGGTGACACTGTATGTTACAGAGGAGAACTGCTCTGTAGCATTTTCTTGGCTATAATCGTAACAGATGTAGATGACTAGGCATTCTTCTGCAGAAGAGCTGGTGGGTTCAAATCTCCAAATTTTAGGTTAGCTACAAATCATTTTCAGCACTCAAAGCCTTCTGATAGGTAGATAAGCTGGATTTTATTGCTCTCTTCCCCACAATGCACCATTGTATGACTTTTCAAAAGGCCTTCTATCATTACTTAAAATAAAATTCCTGTACAGGGATAATTAAGTACTACATTAGTAGTACAGGAATTTTAAGTAATGGGGCAGTTCTACTCTATCCTATGTTGTTGTTGTTGTTGTTGTTATGTGCCGTCGAGTCAGCCCTGACTCATAGCGACCCCTCCTTGGGTTTCCGAGGCAGTATCACTATACGGAAGTAGGACTGCCCAACCTTCCTTCCGAGGAGTGGCTGGTGGGTTTGAACCGCCAGCCTTCTGGTTAGCAGTCAAGTGCCTTAGCCACTATGCTACCAGAGCTCCCTACTCTATCCTATAGGGTCACTATGAGTTGGTTTGGTTTTCTAGTACACCAAGTTTAAGTAAAAACTTAAAACCACCCATCAAATACCCATAAAACCAAAAACAAACAAAAAGTAACCAAATGTATAAAAACAAATCATACACGTACAAGAAATTTAATTAATTATGAATTCTAAGTTGGTTTTGAAGTTAGGTAAATTTCCAAAAATACTAAGTTTAAACTACAGGACAAAGAAACTTAATCATACCAGTTAAAAGCTAGTGCTACCTATATAAAAAAAGAAGTTACAAAGAGGGCTTCAAATCTACTTCTGTAATGATATCACCTCGGAAACCCAAGGAGGGGTCGCTATGAGTTGGGTCCAACTTCACGGCACATAACAACAACAACAACATCCTCCTTCCACAGAGCGGCTGGAGGGTTTGAACCACTGAATTTCTGGTAGGAGCCAAATGTCTTACCCACTATGCCATCGGAAGTAGACTGCCCAACCTTCCTCCCGGGGAGTGGCTGGTGGGTTTGAACTGCCAGCCTTCTTGTTAGCAGTCAGGTGCCTTAGGCACCACGCTACCAGAGCTCCCATTCTCAGTAATAGCAAATACTAATCTATGGGTGGATACATAGGTAGACAGAAAACAAAATCAGGTATGGATAAATGAACAGGAATATACCCACGACCATACATAGGTTTGGCAGATGATATTCCTACCTATGTATTTGTGTGTGCTATAAAAATGTCCACATGCAGTACAAAGCTAACAGGGGGAAAAGTTAGGATAACTTCTTAGCCACAACTAAGCACCTTGAGGGTGTGATTCGATGGACATGCGCACTTGAGACTATGGTCACAGGGAGTATCTCAAGCTTAATTGGCACAACACAGGACCCAAAAATATTGTTCTATATCAAACTTCAGTGAGTAGCAAATGGGGTCTAAAAAGCTTACGAGCAGGTATCTAAGATGCAACTGTTGGTCTCTCCTCATCTGGAGCAAAGAAGAGTGAAGAAAATCAAAGATGCATGGGAAGAGTTAGCCTAAAGGACTAAGAGACCATGAGAATCTCAGCCTCTATAACCCTGAGACCAAAAGAACTAGATGGTGCCTGGCTACCAATCCCAACCATTTGGAAAGGGATCAAAATTGGAGATCCTGAATAGAAAAAAAATGTGGAACAAAATTAAAAAGCATAAAAAGACCAAATTTACTGGTCAGCAGAGACTGGTGAAACCCCAAGATTATGACCAAGAGTCACCCTTCAGGCCTGGAACTGAACTCACTCCCATGGCTTAACTCTCAACCAAACGATAGGCCTACTACAACAGGGACATGTACTCCTTAGAACAATCAACCATGGGCAATCACAAAGGCAGCATTTGCACAGGGAGAAAGGCAGGGAGGTGGGAATGCAGAGGCAAGAAGGACACAGCGAAGGGTAACCACATGGAGGAAGTAGGAGGATATGGCAGGGAATGTAATCAGTGTCACAAAATAAAATGTGTATGAATTGCTGAATGTAAAACGAATCTGCTTTGCAAAATTTCATCCAAATCACAATAAAATGTTAAAAAAAAAAAATTAAAAATCCCTCAAGGTTTCAACAATAGCAGCCTGAACTTGCTTCAGCAATTCAAGATTGTATTTCCAGTCCAGATACTTATAAACTTTCATATGACACCTTTGGAGTCCTAGATAGAGCACTCTTGCTTGGTTAACTGAAAGGCTGGTAGTTCAGGTCCACCAAGAGATGCTTTAGAAGAAAGGCCTGGGAAGTTACTTCTAAAATGTTAGCCACTGAAAACCCTATGGAAGGCAGCTGTATTCTGACACATATCGGTCACCAAGAACCAGAGTCAACAAATGGCAACTTTATTTTTATATGACACCTTCACTTGGATGTTCAGTTTCAAACAACATGCCCATAACGGAACTCAAGACTGTCCTTACACCACTTTTCTTCCACCTTTTTTTTCAACTCTATAAATGTACTTCTGTCATGGACTGAATTGTGTCCCCAAAAAATATTTGTCAACTTGGCTGGGCTATGATTCTCAGTGGTTTGGCAGTTATGTAATGATGTAATCATCCCACGATGTGATCTGATATGATCATCCAATCAACTGTAAAAAGATTAGGGTGGAATGCAACACCCTTACTCAGGTCATAGTCCTGAGCTGACTTAAGGGGAATTTCCCTGGGGTATAGCCCACATCACCTTTTATCTTACAAGAGAAAAAAGGAGATAGAAGTGGGCAGAGAGCAGAGAGAAAACAACCTTGGTACCATGAAAGAGCCGGAAGCGGAGCATGTCCTTTGGACTCAGGGCCCCTACACTGAGAACCTCCTAGACCCAGGGGAAGATTAATGCCAAGACACAAGTCTCCAAGGGACTCTAGGCCCGCAGATGTTGAAAGGAAACAAGGATCTTCCCCTAGAGCTGATACAGACTGAAAACTTTCTCCTAGAGCTGGTGCCCTGAATTTGGACTTCTAGCCTCCTGAACCGTGACAGGATAAACCTGTTTGTGAAGCCATTCACTTGTAGTATTTTTGTTAGAGCAGCACTAGATAACTAAGACAACCTCTAACCTTTGAATGTTTATAATATTCATTAAAAAAATAAAGAAAATATATATTAAGTACATACCTGCTTTTATGCCACAGTTCTGTCATCAGTTTGAGATAGCTTTTACAAATGGCTGGTTTCTTATCTGTTCGAGCTAGTCCTCCGCAATCAAGAAAAAACTGTGTCAAAGGTGGGCTAATTAAAAAGAAAGAAGGAATCAAAGTGTAACACAGATCAACTTTTAATTATTCAAAAGAACTGACAGCACACATCTTCCACCAAATGAAACTCACCACCACTGAGTCAATTCTGACTCATAATACCCCCCCCCCGGGTTTCCAAGGCTGTTTATCTTTACAGAAGCAGTCTGCCCCATACATATTTTTTCTGAGGAGCAGCAGCCGGGTTCAAACTACTCACCTTTTGGTTAGCAGCCAAATGCCTTAACCACTACACCACCAAAGCACATTATAAATATCCCCATACCTATTATTTCTCTGCTCTCTTATAGTAGCGCCCAAGGCACTTGACTGTTAACCAGAAGGCTGGTGGTTCAAAAGCAGTAGCCCCTCCTCGGAAAAAAGACTGGAAAATCTACTTCCATAGAGATACTGCCTCGGAAACCCAAGGAGGGGTCACGATGAGTCAGGACTGATCCGATGGTAGTAAGTTTGAGCTTCTGAGTTTCTTATAGCTAGAATTTCTCCCCACTATATCACCAAAGCCCTCCATGTTGCAAAATCCAATGAACACATTTCACTCCCTATGACAACTTCTGTCACAGGTTATCACCCCCTTATTCCTGAATAATCCTTCTTTTAACTACTGTAATAGACTTTTTAACTTTCCTTTTTTAGCTCTCTAACAACTCATTTCTTTTTTGCTCTTCTTGTTCTTAACAGACATCTGTTATGAGGATTCCTCAGGACTTGATCTTTAGATCTTTAGACTTTACCTTTCTTTACTCTTTTCCTCAATAATCTTAAATTTCACATATATGCCAACAATGGCAAAATTTACATAAAGGTAAATATCTCACCTACACTCAAGACTTGTATTAAACGCCCAAACTGATGGCAGTCATGGGAATCTCAAATTTAAGATGCTCAAAAGTAACATTCAAGTGGATCTGCTCTTTCTCTAGGTTTCCACATCCCAAAAATGCTACGGATAGCTACCCAGTGGCTCAAGCTATAAAACACTAATCTTTTGTGAGTTTGATTGGCTTGAAGGAGCCTCTTTCAATCTATTCAGTTATAGAAAACTAATTGGGCAAAAACAAAATCCTGGCCTGCAATAAATTCACCACCCTATGAAGGTATTTGACAGCTATCAACAAAGCCATTTCTTAGCCAACACTATAACCTTATGATCTATGTTTTTTTTTTCCCAATGAAATGAAAGAAGTTGCATAGTAAATTCATGGAAGCATTACTGTATAATAGGACTAAGGGTCTGGAACAACACACACAAAATCTCAGATTCAAAATTCTGTTCTAGTATTTACTAGCTGGTAATCTTGGCAAAGTTATTTAAACCTCTGTCTCTGTTTCCTTAATCATACAAATAACAATAGTGCTTACCTATATGGAGTATTTATAGTATGATTACATTACTACTATTAAACTTTATACCTCCCTCTCTGTCCACCCCATCCATATTCTATCAACCAGTCATTCTCCTGAAAACGTTTATCTCCCATACTTCTACTCCTTTCATACTATTCTAGTTGATGCAAGTTACTACAATTTCTCGCCTAGATTACTACAACAGCCTCTTAACTGGTCTTCCTAATTCTATTCTCTTTCCCGTCTAATCCACTGTCCACATGGCAACCACAGAAATCTTTTTTACAATTTCCACTGGATTATTTAGCTTCACTGTTGTAAAATAACCAAATCAACCCCACTGCCATCCAGTCTGGTTCCTCAGATAATACAAAGCTCTTTGTCACCTCAAGGTTTTCAGTGTTGATCGTTCTTGATCCTTGAATCTGGAATGTTCTCTCCAACTTTTCATCCAACTATTTTATACTCATTCTTTCAAATTAAATGTTACTTGTTCAAAGAGTCCTTCTATGATCTCTTAATAAAAATTGAGTTCTATTTCACAGAATTAAATCATACGGTAGACAACTCAATGTAAAGTATTTACACAAAAAACAAACCCATTGCCATCAAGCAACCCTGTAGGACAGAGCAGAAATGCCCCACAGGATTTCCAAGGCTGTAATGTAAATCTATAAGGAAGCAGACTGCCTCATCTTTTTGCTGTGAAGTGGCTAGTAGGTTTTAACCTGTGACATTTGGATTAACAGCTGAGTTTTCAACCACTGCGGCACCATGCCTCCTTAAAGTATTTATAGGTTAAATAAAAATGAGATTATTTGGGCACAAAAACTATTGAAAGGACATCCTAAAGCAAGAGAAATTAGAAGAGCAATCAGTAATGCATACATTCAGTCTCCACCTACTGTTCTGAAAAGGCAAACCCAGTAAACTGAGTAGTATGCCAAAGTCAGTGAATTCTGAATTCTGGTCCTGATTCAGTGTGCCTAAACTGAAGTATAATACCCACCCCTACCTACCCTGTATCACTATCATTTAGGGTAGGGAAAAAACAAAAGGAATTCTTTATGAGGCTTTCTACCTAGAGAAAAATACAACATATTTTCATAGAATCACTGGACTAAAAAGGATTTGAAAAAATTAATTACTTTAAATTCATTTCCTATTTGTATTAGGGGAAAAAAAAAAAAAAAAAAAAGCTGTCTGAAAGGCATACAACTACCTAAAGACTGAGCCAGAATCAATGATCCCAGGAAACAGATGGCATGCATAGAGCAACCCTTTCAGAACAACAATGGTTTATGTCCCAGCCCAGTTTCTACTCCACTTTACCCTGGGAGTCAGTCAATACGAAGAAAGGGGAAATAAATTTTGCAGAAATGTTTTCATTTTAAGCTTTTAGTTAATATACACAATTTTTTAAATAGAGGCATTTCAGAAAGTGGGAAAAATAAAGTTCAGGAAAGAACGAGAAATGTAATCAGCAATTTATAAAACCTTGCTGGTTAGGGAAGGTCCCTGGGTAGCACAGACAGTTTGCTCTTGACTACTAACCTAAAGGCTGGTGGTTCCAACTCACCCAGCGGCACTGCGGAAGAAAAGACTGACAGCCTGCTTCTGTAAAGGTTACAGCCAAGAACACCCCATGAAGCAGTTCTACTCTGTAACAGAAGGTGTTGCAATGAATTTAAACTGACTCAATGGCAATAGATTTGTTTTTTAGTTTTGTTCGTTAGGAGAACTGAACAGAATTGTTAATCCTCTCCTATACTGCTGCTAGTATGTGTATGTCTGTCTTTCCCTTTCTTCTCTATTCTTTTCTAAGCATACCATAGTAGCATAGTTTTCTGCTCAATGTGACCTTAAAAAAAGTATACAAATAAAGCAACAATAAAATTAATTTCTTTACTTACCAATTGGAAAGGGCTTGCAAAGCTGCGTTCATATAACAAGTATTTCCAATATTTTTCAAACCTGTAAGTCCTATTAAGAAAAAAATTAAAATTATGCCATCATTCAATAATGCAAATTGACTCAATTTTGTAGGCCTTACTAAGTATGTAGCCATGATTCTCAAACGATGTTATGCCCCACAGAAATACAATATAACGACTAAATGAACTCAAAAAGAGTTCAGACTTTTGGAAACCTCAGAGTCATCAAATTACTGAGCTGTTTAGAGAAATTCAGGAGTCCCCTGGATGGTATAAGTGGTTAAGTACTTGACAATTGACAGAAAGGCTGCTGTTCAAAACCACAAAGAGGCACCCTGGAAGAAAGGTCAGAGCCTTAAAAACCCTGTGCAGCACAGTTTTATTCTACAACACGTGGTGTGTCTCCATGAATCGGAATCAGATTGACAACAGTGGTTTGGTTTTCGTGAGAGAACTCTAGTTATTAATTAGCTTAGTATCTGAAATTTACAGAAGCAGAACAACCTTTCTCATTGTCATTTAACAAAGAACACATCTTTAAAAAGCATAGATCTGAAACTTCTCAGTACAACTAGATTTAACTGTAAGGAAACAGCTTAATTACGATGCAAAAAACCTATGTCATGATAAATGATAAACATCCTTTTCCTCCCCATTTTAATTCATTACACTGAAAGCAGTATTTATTAAGCTGAACCATATGAAATTGCTAATTTTCAACTTGCAAACATGACAATGTCATATGGCTTAATCTAATACAATTAAGAAATCAGTGAATCATTTTTATGTCTTCTACATACATCAAACCCATCTTCATCAGCTCATACCATTATTAAATTAAAAGATGAAATAAGAGCAAATAATTCCAAAGTAAAATTATAAATGCTATTTGGGTTTAGAGCAAACACACAAAGGAAATGTAAGCATCTGAGAATCAAAAAACATGGCCAAATTAACACCTGTTGGTAAGTATTTTATAAAATTAACTGAAATATCTAAAGGATAAATTCATTATTGTATTTGCAAATTCTATAACTTGCATTAACATAGCTCTTCCACTTTACTCTCTCAACAAATTCTCACAACAGCAGTGCTGGGTGGGACAGGAATAAACCAAAACCAAACTCACTGCTGTCAAGCTGATTCGACTCATAGCAACCCCTCCTTGGGTTTCCAAGGTGGTATCTCTATGGAAGTAGATTGCCCCATCTTCCTTCTGTGGAGTGGCTGGTGGGTTTGAACCGCCAGCCTTCTGCTTAGCAGTCGAATGCCTTAGGCACTATGCCACCAGAGCTCCTGGGACAGAAACAGTTTATTTATAAACAAAGTAACTAAGCCTCTGCTGATTAGTAATCACTGGATTTTCTACTCAACAGAGATCTTCCCAGTCAAGTTCAATTCTCTTTTTTATTGCATCATGCTAGTTGCTTTATGGTACTGACTAAAATACCTAATACATAAAATATTTATAAATTATCTCTGCTACTGTAAGACTTTATATTAAAAAGTGTTCATTTATTTTCAGATAATAATTTAAATATACACCAAATACACATAACCACATGTTAAACTAATCTAGAATATTTAAGCAATATTTTGCAGTGATTACACAGAAATAAAAGATTTAAGATGCTATTTTATCATATAATTATGTCATAACTGAAATTACTATAAAGTTTAAAGGATTAAAATTCTCAAATATTGATTACAAAACAGAAAATTTAACTTTATAGTAACAACAGATCTTAAAATTATTTCAAAAACTCTGAAGCAATGGTTCTCAATGTGGAAGGGGTAGAGAACAAAGCAGAGGTATACAAGAATGGCCTTATTCTTTCCTCAAATTAATGCTGTCCCTTGGAAATTCTGCTAAGAGGATATGTTAATACTTTCCCACATCCCCCTGTCACTGACTGGTAATAAAAAAAAAAAAAAAAAGGTTGAGAATGGACCTTAAAAGATAAATTAAGTACAAAAGGTCAAAACAATCAATGGCAAAAAAGAGATTTGTTGTTGTTACGTGCCCTCGAGTCAGACCCAACTCATAGGGACCCCTCCTTGAGTTTCCAAGGCAGTATCACTACGGAAGTAGATTGCCCCATCCTCCTTCAGAGGAGTGCCTTCTGGTTAGCAGTCAAGTGCCTTAGGCACCATGCTACCAAAGCTCCCTCTCCCGGCAAAAAAGAGATTAGGATCCCCAATTTGGTGAAGTAATGGCAGAGAAACAAAGTATCACTAAAATTGTCAATTTGCTTTTTTTGTAAATACAATTTTACTAGATCAAATTCAGATTTTATTTTTAAATTGTTGTTTCCAGAGTACCTTTTAGAGTTTGAAACTTTCACATCATAAAGTTTCTTAAAGAAATGAGCAGTATCAACAGAGGAGTGTTACACAGCATAATTATTTTACCTCTTGCCTTAAGTTCATCTTCTTCTTCCACTTCTATATCCAGATCATCAAATACAGCAACCAGAGGAGTTTTTAATGTTGTGTTACTAGGTATTTTAAAATCCTTGATTACAAAAAAGATAACACACTTGAATAAATCATCAGATTACAAGAAACTAATTTTAACATACACACTATCTAAACCCTAAAAACTCATGGAGATGTTATTTTAATAAAATTCTGCATAAAATACGTGGTTTTAGCAGTTAAGAGTAAAATTTACCTTTATATTCTGAAAGAAATAAGGATATATCCCAGGTACTACCATGATATCCTAGTTTTCTTAACATAAATACTTGAGTAATAAAGCCACATTTAATAAATTACTTTTTAGAATTTAAACTCAACAACTAGCTCCCATTTAGTGAGATCTCAATGCAGCTTTACAGATTTCAGTGCACATGTTCTATATTATCTTTGCAGATTTTTACTAACTTTTTACAGGAAAAATATATACAAGTTTTTCACCAGAAAACACCAACTTATCTGTAGATTTCTACAATCTGATCTGTGTAACACTTATTTTGTATCCCATTATGCATAACAGATAGCACAATTATTTTAAATGGTAATATAATATCCCAATATTACTGTTGTTAGGTACCATAATATTGGCTGTGACTCATACTGACCCCAAGTACAACAGAACGAAACAGTGCCTGGTCCTGCGCCATCTTCACAGTCCTTATACTTAAGCCCATCATTGCAGCCACTGTGTTAATCCATCTCATTGAGCATCTTCCCCTTTTCACTAACCCTTTACCAAGTATGATATTCTTTTCTAGCGAATGGGCCCTTCTGACATCACATGACCAAAGGAGGTGAGACAAAATCTGGCCATTCTCACTTCCAAGGAGCATTCTGGCTGCACTTTTTCCAAGACAGATTAGTTCACTCATCAGGCAGTCCATAGTACTTTCAGTACTCTTTGCCACCACAAGTCAAAAGTATTAACTCTTCCTCTGTCTTCTCCAGCTTTCACATGCACCTGAGGCAACTGAAAGTGACATCTTTGTTCTCTAATACTTTAAAGAGGTCTTTTGCAGTACATTTGCCCAGTGCAATATGACATCTGATTTCTACACTGCTGCTTCCATGAATGTTGGCTGTGGACCCAATTAAAATGAAATCTCTGACAACTTCAATCTTTTCTCCATTTATCATGATATTGCTTATTGGTCAGTTGTGTGGATTTTTGTTTTATGTTGAGATGTAATCCATACTTCAGACTGTAGTCTTTAATCTTCATCAGTAAATGCTTCAAGTCATCTTTATTTTCAGTAAGCAAGGGTGTGTCGTCTGCGTGTTGCAGGTTGTTAACGAGTCTTCCTCCAATTCTAATGCCGCATTCCTCTTCATATAGTCCAGTTTCTGGGATTATTTGCTTAGCATATAGATTGAATTAGTATGGTGAAAGGATACAACCCTGATGGACACCCTTCCTGATCTTAAACCATGCAGTATCCCCTTGTTCTGTTCGAACAACAGTCTCTTCATCTATGTACAAGTTCCTCATGAGAAAAATAAAAGTGTTCTGGGATTCCCATTCTTCTCAACATTATTCATAATTTGTTATGATCCACGCAGTTGAATGCCTTTGTAAAGTCAATAAAACACAGGTAAACATCTTTCTGATATTAATTCCTTTCAGCTAAGATCCATGTGACATCAGCAATAATATCGCTCATTCCACATCCTCTTCTGAATCCAGCTTGAATTTCTGGATGTTCTCTGTCAAAATACTGCTGCAACCATTTTTTAATTATCTTCAGCAAAATTTTAGTTACATGTGATATTAATGATACTATTTGATAATTTCCACATTTTGTGTGGTCATCTTTCTTTGGAATGGGTACAAAGATTGATCTCTTCTAGTCACCTGGTCAGGTAGCTGTCTACCAAATTGGCATAGACGAGTAAGTACCTCCAGCAAGGCATCCATTTGTTGAAACAGCTCAAGGGGTATTCCAGCCTTGTTTTTTACCAGTTCCTTCAGTGCAGCTTCAACTTCTTCCTTCATTATCATTGGTTCTTGATCATATGCCACTTTCTGAAATTGTTGAACATTGATCAGTTCTTTTTGATACAGTGACTCTATGTATTCCTTCCATCTTCTTTTGATGCTTCCTGCATCATTCAGTATTTTGCCCATAGAATTTTTCAATATTACAACTTGAGGCTTGAATGTTTTCTTCAATTCTTTTAGCTTGAGAAATGCTGAACATGTTCTTCCCTTTTGGTTTTCTAACTCCAGGTATTTGCACATTTCATTAAAATAATATAATTCCACTATTCCCCAGAATTGGTTTTAACTCAGAGGTTACAACTAACTGATGGCCTACTGGATAAATGTTAGCCCACCTTGTTAAACAAATAAACAAAACAACATTAAGCTAATGTTTTAAAAAAACTGGGAGTGCTCACATAAAAATCAGAATTTACAAGCTCTCTTATGGGCTCAAGGAACTCTGGTAGCACAGTGCCTAAGACATTTGACTGCTAACTGAAGGCTGGCGGTTCAAATCCACCAGCCACTCCTTGGAAGGAACACTGGGCAGTTAACTTTCATAGAGATACCACCTCAGAAACCCAAGGAGGTGGCGCTATGAGTCAAATCGACTTGACAGCAATGAGTTTGGTATTTTTTTTCTTATAGGATCAGAAGATCTAAGCATATTGGATGATTTTAGGAACAATGAGTTGAAGGAGGAAGCTGAACAGCAGCATGCATTTAGCTCGTACCCTCTGCTTCTCCAATTTATTACTGTCCTATCCTACCTCTGGATAGTGCTTGACCGTGTTTCTTTCTGTTGTACACAGCCTCGCTAGGAATCAGATCCAACTTGATGGCACCTAACAACAACATTCTACCTCTGCAATACATGCACATATCATTATACCTACCCACTTTGTACATTTACTTTACCCTTCCTTGTACCTGTTATTAGACATTTGAGTAGGCTTCATATTCTCACTTTGTGATTTAACTTTTTTTAAAAATAATTATTTTTATAAAGATGTAACATGCTCATTACAAAGTATTTCAATACAGTGAAGTAAAGAGGTTTTTAAAAAATTATCCAAAAATCTTACCACCTAGGACAAACTTCTGTTTTCAAAAAAATTTTAATGACATTTGCATGGTTTCTAATATTCTATTATTTTATAAACAATGTTGTGATGAACTGCATACAAAACAACCTATAATTTTGTTCCTCTAAAGTAATTTATATGAATATTTTTTTTCTTCTTGGTAATTTATTCAACAATGGAATCATCAAAAAGCTATATGAGATTAAGTTCAGGTCTTTCATGTCTTAACATATTTATAAATTGCATTTAAAAGTTATAAGTTTACTTCTAAGAAGTACCAGTATACTTATTCTACCATATTCAATATTCTTTAGAGTTTGCAATCTACTATGACAAGAATGAGAACAGATAGCTGTTCTACCTTCTTTGTGAGAAGTATTTTCTGATTATTTTTTCAGTATTTTCATTGGTATTTCTTTTGTGATCCTTCTGCACTTACTCTTGCAACAAGCTTTCTAGATGAACACTAACTATTACCCTTATAGACTTGTTACCAGTTCCTTTTGTGATCTACACTTTTAGTTTAAATCACATTACATTTTTAATAATGTAAGACAAGTTCAAGAAAAACACTATTAGGAGTGTGAAAAAGGATAGGACATTTCTGAACGCCAAATAGCTATCAGTGGGAAAACCGGTAATGGTGGTGATTTATTAACCAGAGTCATTCAACTGTAAAACTGGTAATGCAATATTCCTTGTCTAAACCTAATGACCTTAAATTATATAATGTATGAAGCAAGCAAATTTATTATCACAGATGTCTACCTCAGAATGTGATACAAAGACACAACAGAAAATGCTAAAAGTTGGTATCTGGGAATACAAGTATAGAAATACAATAATTTATTTTTATAATATACCTGGGGAAAACACTTGCTAATCGGTTAATCAAATCATATAGTACAAATGATGATCAGAGTAAGTTAGGAAAAACACAATTCTGATTTCTTCATTTCCCTTCTCCTATTTTTAGGAGAAAAAATTCTAAGAAATTCTGAAAATCAAGTGATTAATCTTCATAAGCCTACACATATTTTGAGTTAGTCTCTTGATCTAACCAGAGCAAAATCTTTAACTAGAGACTAATGGTAATGATTATTATATTCTATCTGATTCTCAATAAATTAGTAAAATGTTCACAGTAATACCAGTAGGGTTGAGAAAAGAGGGAAATAAAGGGAAGGGGAAAGGGAGTTATATTAATTTGAACCTGCCTTTCCTTATCAGAGAGTATCTATCTACTACCTCTTCCTAGAATCAGATTTGCTAGAAAAAGATGAACACTACTTAAATCAGCTTTTTAAAATCACTCTTAAGCCATGTTACAGGAACTTTTTAAAGTATAGGTTAGACAAAATTCTGTTAAATTTTATCTCTATGGCATAATCTGAAATTATTTGATATTTATAACTAAATGAATTTAGATTACCTGGACACTGTTTTCTTGTGTTGGATGAAGCTGTTTTACATGAGGCAACGAAGGCTGAGTTCCTAACTTCCTATCCAAAAATACTTCTTTGCTACAAGCATAACACCATACTCGAAGAGTAGTAAGGTTCACAGTTAGATAATGCTTTGTCTCCTGTATAATTTCAGAGTGAGAAGGGAGGGGGAACAAAATTAGTCACAATTGAATAGTATTTCAAAATATCATAGAAGATAAACTGCTAGCCTTTGATAAATAAGAATATGCCCAAAAGAAAAGAGCTAACATAAAGCACAAGAGAAATAAACTTTAGATAAACTGCTATAGGTAGTGATACTGCCTCGGAAACCCAAGGAGGGGTTGCTATGAGTCGTGGTCGACTCGATGGCAAATAACAACAACATTGTGAATAATAACAATATTCAATCTTAATCTAGAAGTTACTCTGTTATCATTTTTTCCACTATTCATTATACAAACATAAGAGTATAAGAGTTTCTGTTTCACATTTATAAACTTAAGTATAATCAAGACAATCGCTGATAATAACATGTAACTATTCCATGAAATATGAAGTGCAACAAGACTCAAACGACATGAATCAAAGCAGAAAGCCACTCAATCAATAGTCAGAATATGGTCTTGGCTAGGTAAGAGTCCAGTCTTTCTCAACTGGAGTTGTGTAAAAGAAATAGATCCTAACAAAAATGATTTGAGTGACTGTTTTATCAGTCTTCTCAAAGATGGTACATACTTTAGTACTTCTAGATGTATAGCAGTAACTTGGTTAATTACACACTATAATGCCTGAGAACCTTGGGGTATTTGAGCTTAATTCTCTTGAGGAGCCTTGGTTGAGAATGGCTAGATGCTGAAGAGATTATCAATGTGAAAAATATGCAGCACATTCTCAAGAAAGTGACAGTCTAGAATGGGAGAATAACTTAGTACAGGTAGTCCCCAACTTATGATGTATTTGAATTACAACAAATCACACTTAGGACCGTCAGTTTTTTGGGGGTACATTTTATTGTTAGTAGTGTGTACTACATAAAATGTTACAGTATGTAATTTGCTGATGTTATCATTCTCAAATGTTCACTTGCAGATGTTTATATGTAATGTTTCCAACCCTCAAATACAAATGAAGATAGGGTTTTATAAAGATACTGATAATAAAAGGCAATGATAGTGGGGGAAAAAAAAATTTAAATGTTCAATTTACATCAAAACAGACTTATAACAGAGTCACCAGAATGGAATCCTGACCTAAGTCAGGGACTACTTGTATATATATAAGAAAGGCATGCACAAATTTACATGGGAAGCATCAAAAAACCAGTGTGAAGTAGAAAGCAGACTCCAGTCAAAAAGAACTGCAGGAAAAGGTAATCTTTAAGCTGAGATTTAGTAGAGAAGTTAGCTAGGCCTTGTCACACCTTTAAGCATCCACTCTCTACCCTGACCTTGATAACCTCCTAATATTCCAGCTATCACTTCTATAAATCTAGAGGTATACTTCTTTAATCGCTCTTAATTACTTCATTCTCCTCCTGATTTAGCAATCCCCCGCGCCCCACCTTTCATAGAGTGTATAAACTAAGCTTTAATTCAATTTATCTAAAAAGCACAAAATTTTTAATTATTTGTATATGTTTTTACTTTCCCTCAGACTCCCTTATAAAAAACAAAAACAGGTCTTGCATTAAAATTTTTTATATACATACCTGAGAATGTATGGTGCTGTGATCTACTTGGGATTCACCACACCCAACATATGAACATCTGTTCTATAAATAATTTTAGAAAAAGGTAAATAAAATATCTTGTGACATAAATATGTATAAATATATAATAGCATAAATATTACAATTAAGCTTTGATCACTTATCTTTACTTAACGATTAAATGACTTTCCTCTCAGTTAATTTAAAGATCTCATATGCAAAGGAACAAAATCAAAGTATTTCTAAGCTAAAAGTTATGTCACTTCTAATAAAAAGCAAGCATAACATCCTAGAATCATTTACTAAAACTCTGAAAAAGTAGTGTAAGTAAAAACTCTCCCAAAGTTTAGTTTCATTTTTTGTTATCAATATGATCTTTTAATGTTCATTTATGAAATTCTTTAAGTGTCAAATTTTTTCCCCTGCTTATCATTATTCACATCTAAATTTTTCATAACAGGAAATTTTTAAGGAAAAAAATTTACCTCTAGGCACGCCCAAAGATTTGGTCCTCTGACTTTACAATCCTGACAAGTACCCTACGAAAAGAGGCCATACTGACATTATTGTTATAGTGACATGCCCAAATACATACAATTCATGTACAAAACAATTTCAAATACAAAAACTGGGACTCATGAGAATAGAGCATTATAGTATTTATTGAAAAATGCATATTTGGGAGAACATGATTATTTTAAGGCAAAAGAAAAGCTCTATCTTACATGAGATTTTTCTATTAAATCTTCTTTTGTTATTTCTCCAACTGAATCCAAATGTGGACAATGATTACGAAAAGCTGACATTCTGCTAGAAATTTTTTCCTGTTTTCCAAATGAGATGGTATCTATAAGAAAAAATGACCCCAAAATATTAAAAATTTTAAAATGCTAAAATATTAAAAATTAAAGAAAGAGAACATTAAAAATAAATTTTCACATCTTTACTCTCTTAAAAAAATGTTAAAATACTTACAGGTGAGTTTCATAATTGAGGTTAATTTAAACAATGGAAATTGGTATACTCCATAAACACTTTATTCAAATGGATACCTATGAATTTAAATTTGGTTCTCCACACCCTTTGCTGCTTTCCTCCTCTCCCCCAGCCATTTCACTTTGTGTAGGTAAATAAGAAAAAGAGAAAAAAAAATTCAATTTTGAAGTAGCCCTGGTAGCACAGTGGTTAAGCGCTTAGCTGCTAACCAAAAGGCTGGTGGTTCAAACCCACTAGTCACTCCACAAGAGAAAGATGTGGCAATCTGCTTCTATAGAGATTAAAACCAAAAACCAAATTCACTACCATCGAGTCGGATCTGACTCATAGAGACCCCTCCTTGAGTTTCCCAGGCGTTATCACTACAGAAGAAGATCGCCCAATCTTCATTCTGAGCAGTGGCTGGTGGGTTTGAACTGCCAGCCTTCTGGTTAGCAGTCAAATGCCTTAGGCATTATGCCACCAGAGCTCCTACAGAGATTATAGCCTTGAAAATCCTATGAGACAGTTTTATAAGGTCACATGTTAGAGTCAACTCCACAGCAACAGGGTTTGATTTTTTAGGTTTTATAGATACCTATATATCCACCTAAGGAGCTCTGATGGCACAGTGCCTAAGGCATTTAGCTGCTAACCAGGAGGTTGGTGGTTCAAACCCACCAGCCACTCTGCAGAAGAAAGATGGGGCAATCTATTTCCATAAAGATTTATTGCCTCAGAAACCCAATGGGAGCCGTTATGAGTCAGAATCAACTTGATGGCGGAGGGTTTTTTTTTTTCTTTTGGGGGGGGGCAGTTATATATCCATCTACGGCAACTAGTTTTGGTTTCTTAGTTTATGTCTTATGTGGGGAGTCCCTGGGTGGCATAAATGGTTAAGTGCTTGAACACTAGCTAAAAGGTTGGTAGATGGAAGCCACCAAGAGGTGTCTCCAAAGACAGGCCTGATACTCTACTTCCAAAAGGTGATATAGCCTTAAGACCCTATGAAGCAGTCCTACTCTCCTACTCTGCACGCATGGGTTGCCATGAGTGGTTACAGACTCAACAGCAATCAATAACAACACACCTTATAGGTAAGAGCATGGGCTCTGAAGTCAAACAGGCCTAAGGATACCACTAATAGTAGAATGATAGTGCCTAACTTACATGGTTATTGTAAGGATTAATTGAGACAGTAGGTATAAAGTACATGTACACACACTGCACATACATATAAATATATACAAAGAATATTATTAGACACTCTGAAGGATCCCCTTATATGGCTTTTGAGGTAATCAGTGAAGCCTCAAACTCCCTTCCCCATGAGACCTCCAGTTTCAGGCTGATATAGTTTCCCAAATCAATTCTATTTTTCCTGATACTGAGTTTCCTCAAAGCCATTAAAAAAAGGCAAAAGATTTTTCAATCCCAATCTACTTAATTCTCCCCAAGGAATACAATATTATAACTATAATTTATGAGAAAAAATAAATTACAATAGGAATATTACTTTCAAATATATATATATGTGTAGTACTTCCCATTTTTCATGATTTTTACTAAAACCTTATGAATTCTAGAGCTAACTCATACATTATTCAATGCACATAATTCTTAAAATTGATTCTAGTGAGTGATTTCCAAGAAAAATTCCCAAGTTTCAGTCAACATTTCTAGTTCTTCTTTTGGCCATACATTCTTAGTAGCAGGACTTCTCTCCTGTTCTTACTTCAACTTTGGGGGTTAGAAAAAAGTTAAGGAACTTACCAGGAGAACACAAAACAGTTTAAGTTTTACTTTCAGAAATATTGTATATTTAATTGATTTTAGTGGTTTGTTAGTCAGTCAATAAATCCCATAGGTTTCTAACAGAGTCATACTCACTGCCGTGGAGTTGAATCCAACTCACAGAGACCCCTCCTTGGGTTTCCGAGGCAATATCACTACAGAAGTAGATTGCCCACCTTACTTCCAAGCAGTAGCTGGTGGACTTGAACCACCAGCCTTCTGGTTAGCAGTCAAATGCCTTAGGCACTACGCCACCAGAGCTCCCATGCTACTCTCTATGCTTAATAGTCTATCTTTTTTGCTGAAATGTGAACACATTAGAAAACACACTAAACAAAACAAAAAGTTTTTTGTTTTTTTTTTTTGTTTTGTTTACAAATTTATAGAATCTAAATACCCATCAATATATGAATGGGCAAATAAACTATGGAACATACATTCAATAGAATACTACTCAGCCAGTAGAAGAAATAAAGTCTTTAACACATGCTACAATATGCATAGACCTTGAAGATACTATGCTGAGTAAACTAAGTCAATCACAAGAGGACAAAAATTTAATGACCTCACTTATATAAAAAAATGAGAAAAGGCACAGTTTTATTAGTGGTTACCAGGGGACAGAGGGAGGGGCAAAGGTGGGGTTATTGCTTACGGAGTACTGTACCGAGTTCCTGTTTACAGTGATAGAAAAATCCCATTAAGATTAGAGTTGTACAGCCAATTACAGTTACATACTATCAGTTAAGCTATAGATCTGTAAAATGTTAAACTGGCAAAAGTTGTGTGATAGACATCGTCTTAGACAGGATTCTTTAGAGAAGCAAAACCAGTGAAGCTTATACATACGTAGAGAGAAAAATTTATCTCAAGATATGGCTTATGCTGTTGTAGAGGCTGGCGAGTCTCAAGTTCATGAGTCAAACGTCAAGCTGGAGCCTTCTCCTGACTCACAGCTGCAGGGGCTGACGAACCCAAGATCAGCAGGCAATACAGCAGGCTGTTTGCTGGTTCACAGCCTGCAAAGGCAACAATCCCAAGATCAGCAAGCAACTGGCAGATCACTGGGACAAGTCCAGAAGATGAGCCACACGCAGGATCTCAAACAAAAAGCCAGAGATCTTTTCCAGATCTTTTCCATATTTATCAGAAGCAGGTCACACCACTAAGCAATCTCCCATCCAACTGATTTGACTGATCACAGCAGATCTCATCATGGAGGAGATGTTATGTCAGATCATATTAGAGCAGACAAGACATCATAACTGCTAAATTACTTAGAATCATGGCCTAACCAAATTGACACACAACCTTAACTATCGCAGATATATTTACAACCGAAAAAAAAAAAAGTAGCTGCTGAGGCTGTTTGTGTACAACCAAACACCTCATGGGATTTGGTTCCTTAGTTAGGGTCATGGTTTCATGGGACATTCCAGTTAACTGGCCTTAAAACATGTTCTACCTCCTAGTTTGTTGCATAGTGCCTGGAGCCTTAAAAAGCTTCCAAGCAGCTATCCAAGACATAACTGGTCTCTATTCACCTGGAGAAACACAGGAAGGAGAGAGTCAGGAATGAGAAGAGGAAATGGAACGTGTGGCTAATTGCTTCTATAAACAACTGCTTCCTTTGCCATGAGACCAGAAGAACTGGCTGGTACTCAGCTACCATTGCTGATCATTTTGTTCACAGATTCTCTAGAAGAATCCTAATCAAAAGGTGTGTGTGTGTGCAAAAACGGCAAGGAGGTCACATGTTCCAACCTCCTCTAACCCTACAAGGGGAAGGCAGGATTACCAGCAGTAACCCAAGGCCTGTTGCTACAAGGCCAGACATGTTGCCTCCCTCCAGCCCTTTCACCAACCATTCCTCCCAAAGCACCACCACCTCTCTCCTGGGTTTGATAATTCGCTGCAGTGGCTACACAGAGCTCACAGATTATGGGGTTTATTAGGGAAGCACCACAGGCTACAATTCAAGTTCAGGAAAAATGCTCAGTCTCTCTCCCAGCCCACCGTCCCTCAGCCAACAGTCTCTCACAGACTCTTTCCCAGCAATGCTGGTCCCTCGGTGTCTCACTCAGCAATGCATGTCTCTTGCGTCTCTTTCCCAGCAACACGTGTCTCAGGAGCCCATGTCTCTTTCAGCAGCACGTCTTCCTCAACCAGCAGTGAGAGAGAGAACTCTGCCTCTAGGAAGCTTCCTTCTGAGCCCTGCAGGGTGGTCAAACTAGCCAATCATAGCATCAGAACTCTAAGCACCTGAGAGAGAGTGGGCACCTCCCAGAACATTGTTTTGTGCCACTCCCAACAGAAATACTCCAGGTGGACACCTTCAGCAATCAGGAGCTCCTCAGTTGCTCATAGCAAATCCCACCTTGGAGTTTACAAAGACTTATGGGTAGAAAAGCCACACTAAGTAATTTACTACACCACAGTGTGTGGGGGGAGGTTAAGAACAGAATTTCGTAATTTTTATGGAATCCAGACTTTTTTGAGCCATGGAGGCTGGATGAACTCTGAAACTACTGCCCTGAGATAATCTTTACTTTAAACCAAAAGCATTCCCTAGAAGGCTTCCTAAAACCAATTTTTACTAGTTAAGTTAAACTGTTATTTATCTGCTTTGATCATTATGCTCTTTTAAGAACTATCTAAACGGGATCAAATTGACAACAGCAATTCAAAAGATTAGATAGGAAGTTTAGGGGGCAATGAGTTTATGTTAATGGGCAAGGAACAACTCAAAAAAAGAGGGTGAGAAAGGTTACACAACTTGAATAAAATAATCAGTGTCACTGAATTGTACCTGTAGGAATTGTTGATTTGGTATATGTTTTTTTGTGTATATTCCCAACCACAACAAAATAATTATATTAAAAAACTCTTTTAAGGAACAATCATGGGAAAAGGAAGGGCTGCTTATGCACAGGGAGACAGCTCAGGGGGCAGGAGAGTATGGAGGGATGGACATTGGGAAGAGGTAACTATGGGGAGGAAGTGGGAGGGGAGCTGTTGCATTGTGGCAAACTGTGGTCAATGACATGAGACAAAGTATATGTGAACTGCTGTATGAAA